AGTATTGTAAAACCAGTAAATATGTGTAAAAAAAAAATAGTGACCGCAAGTGCCACCAAAAAGGTATTGACCGCAACTGTGCCGACCGCATCTGTGCCGATACCGTGGATAAGACTCCTTACTGTCCTAGGACTAGTTTGCGGTGTCGGCGGTCAAGACGTTCCGACACCGTTGTCATGCGTCGGCGTCGTCCGTATTCGACTGGCAGTTGGAATGGTGAAGTGATTCCGCGGTTTTCCGCGTAAAGGCCGTTTGAATTCAAACGGATATTACGCGGGACCGCGTCAACATATTAGCTAAAATCATGTGTATTTTTAAAAGTAAGATATTAGGCTATAAATTTAAATCAAGCTTTGTTATATTTGATAATATTAGTTAAAATATAAGTATTATTTTCTGTATTAGATATACTTTTTTTTTTTATGAAGTAATTAGTAAGTATCTAATAATGCAATAAATGCAAATTGCGTACGGTAGCATTTATGTGTATGAATTTAAAATTTACGCGATTCGTCGTTGACGAATGTTTAGAAAATAAACATCGCTTCCGAATGAGCACAATCGTCGGACGGCTGTCAACTGATAGTAGTGGGCGTAGCTGCCGTGGCTTAAAAGTGGAGTGTTTGCAAATTACGAAAACACTTAACAGCGCGTTCCTCGGCCGTTGTATACGTTTCGCTTAACGTGTAACAACTTCTTAAGGAGAGTTTAGTATTGGGAAAAAAAAGCAAGTAGGTATGTAACAAGCGCTAAGTATCTAAAATATTCATCATAAAAACTAGATTCCTCCTAGTTCGTTTCAGGACTTCAGGTCCATCATCCATCATTCATTCTATATTGGTTCGTTGGGCGTGGATGTGTCCATGAATCATAATTATTAATTACGATTATAAATATTAAATAATGATCATGATTCATTATTGATATTCGATTCCTCGGTTCCAATCTGATACCAGGTTATTTTCATCAACGATAAGTGATAAGGAGGACATGCGTAGTAGCGTTTTTGCGTCCATGGATATGATATTAATGTAGTACACCAATACAGTAAACACCACTATACTATACACGGTAACAAACTGACGAATGTTGAACATACCTAACAACTAATATTATAATAGCTATTACCTTGTATGCTATTATATTACTGTAATACTATAGGTAATAGGTATTAGTAAATTACACATTTACACGTTTGACGATATCCGCCTTACGTTCCTCGTCGTCGTGGTCGTTCTTAACCGACCGTTCGACGAAGTAATATAAAATAATACAAATATTATTATGATTTTTCTAACACCGATCGCATCGTCCGGCCCGCAAAAGCGGTATCATCGTGAGCAGCTGTAATGACATTTCAAGAACACGTCGTCCCGACTCCGTCGAACAACGACACATCCACGATTGGTTGTCTGCACGGTCTGTCCACGTTCGCCAAGCTCTACACGCTCACCGTACTCGACGACTGTTTCTCGCTGACCGACCTGCGCGCCGTGGTCGTTCGGGCCCTGTACGACACACTGCACTTTGTCAGCTTCGACCGATTCCAAATTGACATATTCAACTCGCTGGTACTTTTCGAGAGTTTGCTACTGGTTCTTTTGATATTTGTTTGGGGCAAGTACAGTGGTGACATTTACGAGCGCTTCCTGTCCACCGGTTGGTAACTAAATATTATTTTTTTAAATCACCCATATCGTGAATAATGGTTACTGGTTCATCATTCCAAGTCTATAGTTACTCATCAAATGTCGTTATTTCAGAAACTGTGGTTGATGAACTAAGAGAAGACGTATCCCAGTTGAAGTTGCCTAAAGCATATACCCCACGCATATAATGAGTGATAAACTGAAAAAATTTTTTCAAAAAAAAAAAGCTGATGTGAAGTTCAAAAGAGCAGGACCCGGTCATCGTCTGGATGAAGGCGTTGCCACAGCCAAAACTGTGGTTAAACAAGGTGAAACATCTCGCGTCTCTAGAGTTGAGCCTACCGATGAAGCCAAACAAGCAGCAGCTGCAGCCTTGGCCCGGTTTGAAAGTAAAAAGACTACCACCGGTCCTCTAAACATGTGAGTATGCTGTTTTATCATACAATTCTAGGCAGTCTATATTAAGAATAATGTTTAATTTATATCTTAAGTGGGTATACTTTTGGTTTTCAGTTCATTGGCTGCCATTAAATCAAGAGCTAGAAAAGAATTGGAAGCCGAAAGAAAAAATGCAAACCAAAATATAGATACATTTATATGTTCAGAAGAAGAAAATAAGAATGTTGAAGTTCCTGGACCATTAGCTACTAGTGGTATTTTTTTCCAATGTCCAATGATAGGTTAGTTTTTATTTTTTAACAACTTTTTTATTATTTTATATTTAATCAAATGAGTAGTGAGAAAAAAATGTTTTATTTAAATTAATCATGTATAGGCTTAGAAGTTTTGCCACAAGAAGAATGGCATATAAAAATAGAAGAATTTATTAAAGAACAAATGAAAGATGATCCTATATTACAATCGATTCTACTAATCCAAAACTGCAATCACAATAGAACCAAAGTAAAATAAAATTTTCAAATTAATACTGTCAAACTCATTAAACCATTTTACTAATAATTTTCTTTTAAGATTGAAGAATGCATTAAGTTACTAGTGACATATGCAGAAAATATCATTAGAAATAAGGACGAAGAAAAATATCGCAAAATTAGATTAACAAATAAAACATTTGTGGAAAAGGTGTTGCCAATTAAGGGAGCAATTGAATTCTTAGAATCTATTGGTTTTGTTAAAAAAAAACTTATGTATCAAGATCAAGAAGAAGATTTCTTAGTTTTTCCTGAAGAATGTTTGAATAACCTAGCCTTGGTACAGACCACTGTTGATGATTTACAATCGGCAGAACGCATTCAATTGGTCTTGGATAGAAATGTTCAGGTTCTTTTGCCGTCACAAGCATCAGTAAAAGTTTCATTACCTCCAGAGTTTTTCATAATGTCTACTGCTGAATTAAAAGCAGAGTATAAAAAAAGGTAAATACAAAAATATTGACACAAATATAGTATATATATTATTTAGGCTTGAAAGTTATAGAAACTTAGATGGGCAAAATGTGAATGAAAAAATTGTTCAAAAAATATGACAAAAAACTGATTAGCATTTCAATATCTTATTGAAATAAAAAAATAGTTTTGAAATTTAATTATTATACAACTGTATTTATCGCCAATAACTTTCATTACCATTTTTTATAGTTTCTTAGCACACTCGTTTACTAATACAATTTTTGCACATTAAGCATCACATAGTTTGATAATAATATTTGTCTGTTAACCACTAAAGCTATTTGAACTTCCACATTATAACTCACTTTAGTATTTCTTCTTTGTATTTATACTATAAGTGTTAGTGGTACATTAAGCATTTGATATTTGGGCTTGTGTATTATTGACTTACACTCCTGGTTCATAACTACTATAAAATGTCAATTGTGCTTAAAAATTTGTTAATGAATGAAAAGATATATAAGATAAATTAAGTTAATAACTTATTGATGATAAGATAATATTTTACATTATTTGTGCTATTAAAATAACATGCATATTGCGCTGGTGTCATAAAATTAATATTTAACTGTGACAATGACAATAAATACATACAATTAAATTCAATATTATTTAAAATACATAGGTTAAAAAAATAAAATTAAATGTTTTAGAAAATACTAAGTATGCTTATTATGCATTTAAAATTTTTAAGTTTGTCATTATATAATTTTATAAGATTGGATAGCTTGGACCACTATAAATACAGGCAAATAGAACAAAATGCAATTTTTATTACTTCAGAGTCTTACACTTTATATATGTATACATTATAATATAATATATTAAATTGTTATTATTTTTTTAACAATTTTTAATATAGGAAATCTGTTACATAAACTGAATAGATAAAGTAAAATAATATTAGTGTATTTTTGACATAAAAAAAGTACCCAAAAATTAGTTCTAATATTAAAATATTTTGTAATGCAATAATAATGATAATTGGTTGAATTTATAACAAATATCCATAACTTATACATTTTTTATTATTAAATTTGTAAATTTTAATATTTAATGTTATTTCTTAGATGTTATATATTTACTAAGCCAGTGATACCTGAAGAGTATGCTTCACATGCCTTATGTATAGAATTTAGTATAAGGAGTTTTAAAATGACAAAGTTTTATAGAATAATAGTTTTCCCCTAGACAAATACAATATTTACAGCAGATTTACTAATTTTTCGTAATAATTAAAAAAACCATTAACTGTAGTACTATTTATTTATTTATTTATTATTTACATCATGACTTGCTAAATTTTAGTTGATAATACATAAATGAATAAAAAAAAAATTACTATTGATAATCTTTAACCAAGAAAATAAGACACTAAAACAGACAAAGTTATTCCTCATGTATTGTGAAAATTTAATAAAACTAAAGTTGAGGCAGGAAATTATTTCATGTAAAACTATTTCTATTTATAAATTATAGGGAGTGTGAGGATGTAGCATCCTTTTTTTAATGTAATAAATAAGTATTTTTATTCAATCAACAAATAATCATAATATACTCAAATTTCAAATGATACAATTTGCTTATTTGTTTAATATCAGGAATGATAAACTGGAGAGTGAAATGATTCTAAAAACTAAAAATATGCGTATGAAGGAACAAAATAAATACAAATCAAATTACAAATATTGTTTGATTCGAGTTAAATTTCCAGATTGTTTGATTTTACAGGTAAACTTGAATTGTGTAATATTTTAATTTCTATTGTTATGATATTTTATTTTTTCTATTAGGGAACATTTGGTGTCAATGAGCACTTGTCTGATGTTTTAGAATTTGTCAAAGAAAGTGTATTTGACGAACAGCGGCCATTCAAGCTAAGACTGCCTAGTGGAAGAACTTTAGATAATGAGCATGAAAATATGACCTTAAGCGAATTAAACCTGGTACCTACCACTGTTTTACTCTTTACTTATGATCCACCTGAAAACAATGAGGAACATCCTTACTTAAAAGATGAGCTCATGGCACTGGTACAGTAACTGCATAAATATTAAATAAATTTTATTTTCAAATCAATTGTGATAAATTTCAATAATCAATTTAATTGTATATTGTTTACTTACTTTACTTGGGTACAATCAATGGATATATTTAATTAGTTTCTTTTTGATTTTGTTAATAAAACATACCTAATAATTTATTTCATAATTTGTGATAAAAAAAAAAAAAAAAAAAAAAAAAAATGATGTAATATTTAAAATTTATCATTACTTTTCTGTTAATTTCTAGTGCTTAATCTCTGCCAGTCACACATCCTTAACGCATAGATATTATTTATGTTTTGAACCTTTTGATAAAGTAAACACTTAACATTTTATTTCTTATTTAAAAATTAAGTATTATGTTTATATATTTTAAAATTTATTTTCAAAATGTACTCTGCAATTATTAAAATATATTATTGTATTATCATGTATTATTATGATAAAATAAAAAATTAACAACTTATGTAAGTTTTCATATTTTTTTCAACTACAAATAATTTTATTGTCTTACAGGTATGAGAAATAAAAAAAAAACACAGCTTATCACCTAATCATTATTATTATATTAAAATGTACAAGTACTGAAATTGAACCACTTATATTTATTATGTGAACTATTATTATTAGATAATAGATATCATTAAACATTGGCTAAGTATAAATTATCAGTTGAAAACTTGACATTTCTTAAATATTGGTGTTAGATCATAAATTTAAAATATATACAATTCATTATTCAAAGATCTTTCAATATGTTGGGGAAATCTTTTCTTATTAATTCCGTTTGTCGTACACATTCAGTGTATTTAGTCTGACATTCGTCTATTAACGCTGTTATCCTCTCCGATAGTTGGTCAAACCGCTGTTTATTAAACGTTGCTTGATTAAACAATACTTCATTAGTTTCTTCTAAACCCATAATTTGTACATCAAGTTGATGTAAAGACTCTTCTAATTCTATTATTTCCATAGAATCGTTATCTATGTAATATTTTCTAAAAAATAACAATTCCTCATAAAATATTTCCTATATGACTAAACTTAAAAATAAAGAAGTAATTAGGCACAAAATAATATACTTTGCTTCTTCTTCATTTAATGAATTTTTTTTAGTAAACAGTTCAGATAGATTTTCTTCCTCGATAATTTGTTCAAAATGCTTGCTCATCAGGTTATTGATCTGAGTTTTTAATGTAGTCAACAAATTTGTCACATTCCTTTTACTTTTTAAAAACGATATATCACCCATTATGTTTTTGAACTCTTCTGGACTAAAAAATTAAAACAAAATGTTTTATAGCAGCTAGTTTAATATTAAATTATAGAAACTGTATTTATTTTACCCAATACAATCACTAATTTCTTCAAATGTCTTGTTTATAGCTTCAAGAAATTTTGTATATCTGGGAGGATCCTTGGACACTATTTCCTTAAACGCTACACTAATATTCATATGATCAGATAATGGATGAAAGTTGGAATCTAGCCCTTCATTTTGTGGTTTATCAGTGACCATTGATGGGTGTACAGCTTTATTATCCATTCTAATATATAGTGATAAACAATTATGATTTAATTATCCCAATAATAACAGTATTGTATTTATAATAGTAATATTTTATAATATGTATAAAAGCATAACGTAAAAGTTTTGAAGGATAAATAAAATATGTGAATTTTTAGTCATAGGTAGGTTAAAATTAAATTTATGTCGACCAAAGATATTCATAGAAATGTTTATGCATATAGTACAATTTAAAAAGCAAAGATTAGTCGGCCTAAATTGTAAGATCTTTAGTTTAGGTTAAATAGTTGAAAAGTGGAAACCAATTATGTGACATTCTTACATTTGTAATAGATTTCAATTTATTCTTATTCATGAATAGTTTGCTTAATGTTTAAATCAAAAACCATGCGTATTAAACAAACAAAATAAACGGGGTGCAAGATAAATAAGAATTCAGTTTTTTTCGAAATATTAACAAATTATGAACTTACTTAAATAGTTCGACGAGTCACTACTGTCACCAGAACTCGAATAACAGACGTAACGTCGGTTACTTATCAGTTGTAACTTTTACTTTTTATTTTTGGCCGTAGCTCGGTGCTCGTAACTTAGTAAGTAGAAGTATAAAATACAAGAATATTAAACAATAAACAACTGACATTAGTAATAAGTAATAACAACAACAAAGATAAAATAAACGTTCGTAATTTGAATCCTTATCACGAAACGGGCGTACGCAATGTTTTCGCAGAATTATTATCATCACAAAATTGTTATCATTACTTGTTGACTTCTTGCCTTAGATCATATGATCTAAGCTTCTTGCTATCGTTTCCAAATGATGTATGATAATAAAACATACATTAAAATGTCCATATCTATAGTGATTTCAGTAACATTGTATGTACAAGCAATTCATAGATTAAATACTTATCTATGGATTAAATATACTTAATATATTTAATCTATGGTTGTTACGAAAGTCTACGGGATTACACGATTTTTTCAAGTATTTTACTTAAAAATATCTTAAGCCGTAGATTATACACCAAAAGCGCTGACTTATCATTAACATACTGGTGTATGCTTGATAAAATATAAAAAAAAAACAAAGAATATCTTCACCACATGCAAATACATAGGTACATCGTACATGTACATGCTTTGTTTCTACTAAATGCAGTTGACAAAAGAATCAAAAATGTTATTTTTATCGTCAATACAATTGTTGTACAACGGGCTATACCTGACGTTACTACTAGATCACACGACATCGCGATTCCGATAAAGTTCGTATAATTGCTAATTTCTGGTAACTGGTCCCAACCGGTCGACCCACACGCATTGCATAAAACGCTCGTGACGTCATGGCAACATTCTTGGTGTCGCACAAATTAAGAGAATGAGTGAATAACCCCCAGCCATAAGACATATGCATGTCAATAAGCGTTTCATCGTGAATTTATTACAATTTATTAAAAATAATATTAATTATATATTATATAATTGTAAGGCTAAATTTAGTCATGGTAATATGATGTGCGATATTTTCAACTTCGATTGTTCGATTATACTCATAATTTAAGATGTATCTTAAATCGTCATTATATTTTCAATTCATTTTGGAAATCGTAACAACACTGATTGAAATCCTCTTGACCTGCAAAGATAAGACTGAAGAGTTCAAAGTAGAAGGAATTAGTTGCTAATGTTTCTATAGTCATAGTGTCGTATAGTTATTCATTAGTTCTATGAATTATAAATTTTAACACATTTATTGTTCTATAAATTGTTATAATCTAGTTTTATCGACGTTTTATGTTTACTATTATTTTAATTCAATAAATTGTTCATCATAATGCTATTTGATTAATTTTCCTCAAATTTAGGAGTTTTTAATATTTAATAAGTAATTGTTGTTATTTAATTACAATTACTTGGTTCCCATTCGACTAACAGTAAGTTTTATTAACTAATTATACAATAATTAATTTTAAAATGCATTTCAGAGGTTCGACCACACCCTTTTCCAAAACATATGTTTACGACTTTGTGACTTAATATTTGTTACATACTTTTGACTGAGTGATGAATGAATTTATTGATTTTATGTTTTTTCTTTGTTATTGGCTTTAATAATTGTAAAAATGTGATTTTAACCTAAAGTTTAAGGGTGATTTCTAGTAGCCTATTGTATATGAGAGTACATTGGCGGGTTAAAAGTAAAAATTCCCAGTACGTTTCAAAATATTAAAATACTTGAGAAAAGTAAAAAAGAAATTGAAAAACGAAAATTTTTTACGCAAACCTAATCATTTTTTGACAAAATAAATTTATTTTTTGTGTGTGTAAATCATAAAAACAAATATCCGTAAATATTTAGATGTTTTATAAATTATTTACATTAGAACGTATTTTTTTTTACATAGTATAATTTTCAAGATGTTTAAATATTTTTAAACTATTGATAGAAATTAAAAATTTTTAATTTTATTTCTTTAATAAATTTCGTAAACAAAATATTTGCTTGGTCAAAAAGGTTGACAGTTTAATGAAAGGTTTTTCATGAGTTATTATTATTACATAGGTACCTATTTACAAAATATTAAAATTACATGGTTTTTTTTTTTTTTAAAAATATTTGAAGTTCAAATTTGGACAAAATTAAATTATTAAATGAAGAATAATGATTTTACAAATTTTTTTCACATTTTTCTTAAATAGTGACATTATATATAATATTATACCTCTATTTTATTTTAGGTAATTTCAATACAAGTATCATGGGAGGTAAATTTAAATTTTCAATTGATCGAGGTGGTACTTTTACAGACATTTATGCTAAATGTCCAAATGGAAAAGTTCATGTTATGAAACTTTTATCAGTTGATCCAATAAATTATTCAGATGCCCCACGGGAAGGCATTAGGAGAATATTAGAAACAGTAAAAACTAGAAATCTTTTATAAGACAAAAAACAATTTATATTGAAAAAATGTTATCATTTTTCTAGGAAACTGGTAAAAGTATGCCACAAAATGAGCCAATTGATAGTAGTTATATAGAATGGATTCGAATGGGTACAACTGTTGCAACAAATGCTCTTTTAGAACGAAAAGGTGAACGTATGGCTTTGTTGATAACTCGTGGTTTCAAAGATTTGTTACATATTGGTAATCAAGCTCGTCCAAAAATATTTGATTTAGTAAGACTTTTAGAATAATGATAAATCTTAATTGTTTCTAGTACCTATTGGCTATTATTACTAAATAATGTATTTTAGGAAATTGTAACACCAGATGTATTATATGATGAAGTTCTGGAAATAGATTGTAGAGTAATTAATTTAAATTGTGAAAAATGTGATCAGCTAACTCCAATTTGGAGTGATAAGCCAGTTGTTCGAGGTGTCACTGGTGAAGATATACTAATTTTAAAACAAATAGATGAAATTGCACTAAAAAATGACTTAATTTCATTAAGATCTAAAGGAATTAATAGTATTGCAGTTGCTCTAATGCATTCTTATACGTAAATAAAATTTATACCTATTTTTATTTTTATTTTTATAAAGAAGGTAATTATTTCTTGTTTTCCTGTGTTGATGCATATAATAACCAAAGATATTTTTGTTTAAAAATTAATAATATATTAACTTTTATTATAATGTACTAACCTTGTTTAAATTTATATGTAGTTATAATGAACATGAGCGTATTGTTGGAAGAATAGCTAAAGAAGTTGGTTTTGAACATGTATCTTTATCCCATGAAGTAATGCCTATGGTAAAAATTGTACCAAGAGGGTATACAGCTTGTGCAGATGCTTATTTGACTCCAGCTATAAAAAAATATATTGAAGTAAATTTTTAATACTGACATTTATATATATATATATGTGTGTGTGTGTGTGTGCATATATAAATTAATAGAATTAAAATAATATCATATTTAGGGATTTGCTTCAGGATTCAAAAATAATTTAAAAGATATCAATATATTATTTATGCAAAGTGATGGTGGACTAACGCCAATGAATAGGTATAAAATTTCATCAATTTTATGTATCAAGTACTGCATATTAAAACAATTATTTTTAAAAACTTGTTTAGTTTTAATGGTTCAAGAGCTATTTTATCTGGTCCAGCGGGTGGTGTGGTCGGATACACAGCTACTACTCCTTATAAACCTGTTATCGGCTTTGACATGGGTGGTACATCAACTGATGTTAGTCGCTATGATGGAGCATTTGAGCATGTTTTTGAATCAATAACTGCCGGTGTTACAATTCAAGCCCCTCAAGTAAAAATATTATCCATATATTAAGCATAAAATATTTTTATTTAAAGTATTCTTTATTAAGATTTTTTTTTTGTTTTTAGCTGGATATAAATACTGTTGCAGCTGGTGGCGGTAGCAGATTATTTTTTAGATCAGGATTATTTATCGTTGGACCCGAAAGTGCTGGGGCTCATCCAGGACCTACATGTTATAGAAAAGGAGGTCCATTAACTGTTACTGATGCTAATCTAGTTCTTGGTAGACTGTTACCTGAATATTTTCCTTCAATATTTGGTAAAACTGAAGACATGCCATTGAACAAAGAAGCATCCTTAAAAGAATTTGAAGCTTTGACTAATGAAGTATAATATAAAATTACAATTTAAAAAAAAATTGGAAGATTGTTCTCTACATATATCATAATATCTGGATACAGGTTAATAATTTTGTAAGACTTCAATCTGGAAGTTCAAATCTAATGACTCTCGAAGAAGTTGCTATGGGGTTCATAAGAGTTGCAAATGAATCAATGTGTCGTCCAATTAGAGCTCTAACTCAGGTAAATTTCAATTTAATAATGCTTATGTTATTTATTGATTTTATACTTTATATAATTATATACTTATTAACAGGCAAGAGGATATGATACTAGACAGCATACACTAGCTTGTTTTGGAGGAGCTGGTGGACAGCATGCTTGTGCTATTGCACGTTCCTTAGGAATTGGTCGTGTTGTTATTCATAAATATGCTGGCATTCTATCTGCTTATGGTATGGCGTGTGCTGATGTTGTTCATGAGGTCCAAGAACCTTGTGCATTAACATATGACATTGGTAATAAATTTGTCTAGCTTATATTCATAGCAGGAATGACAAACCTTTCTGTACTTGTGTGTTAACTAAATTGATGGTCTTCTTTTAAACTTAAAAAAATACCTACATTCATAACTTGAATGATAAACAACAAATCAAACATTACATTTTAATTTAAATATATTAAACCCTTAAAGTATAAGTAGCCTATAATTATCTTAAATAAATTCTACATCAATGATCTTTTTTAAACAGTTGCTTGTGACACTAATTTTATTTTTTTAAATTAAGCAAACTGCTCACCTTGTGAATTTCTTTATGACAGCTCACCTCATATATATAGTATACTTAGTTATTTAAAATTATTTAGTTATAGTAAAGTTTATATAAAAATTAGTATTCATAAATAAAGTGAAACATAAGACATATATATATATTATTATCAAACATAATGTATAGTATTTTACATTTTAAAATATTTAATTAATCAATAACAATTATTATTATTAGAAAACTTTGAATATTTAAATGAACGAATCAATATATTGAGTTCAAAATGTATTGATGAACTTAAAAAACAAGGATTCTCAGATAATCAACTACACACTGAACCATTTTTACATCTAAGATATGAAGGTACAGATTGTCCTCTCATGTGTTCAGCTAGTTATGATGGTACAGTTAATTCCAGCTTGATCCGTGGCGATTTTTTAAATGGATTTCTTGCAAGGTTTGTATGCTGTTTTTTAATATTTTTAATTATTTAAATTTGAAAAATATGTTGTAGGTATCAAAAGGAATTTGGATTCATTTTGTCTGGACGTAAAATATATGTTGATGATATACGTGTAAGAGGTATTGGTAAAACTTTGTTAAATATTGACAATGAAGAAATCAAAACTGATAAACCTCCACAAATTGAATCAGTAAATATTTTCAAGGCTTTAAATGCCATTAAATATAAAATTCTATTAAAATGAACTTAACATTTTAGATTAAACAAATATATTTTGAAGACATGGGTTATATTGATAGTAATATTTACCTATTTAGCAAGCTGAATAAAGGACATATAATAAATGGCCCAGCAGTGATAATGGACAAATTGAGTACAATATTAATTGAGCCGAAGTGTAAAGCTATAATAAGTAAATCTGGTGATATTGGTAAGTATTTAATTGTATTGATTTCGTTAGTGCTTTTTTTTTATTTTAATAAAAATTTTTTTAGAAATTGAAGTCAATTGTGATGAGCTTACTAAAATTGGGGTTGAACTTGAACCGATTCAATTAAGTATTTTTTCACATAGATTCATGAGTATTGCTGAACAAATGGGAAGGTAAAATTTTTTTTTTTAATCTAGTAATTTTTATAATTATCATTTAGCAACTAATTTATATGTAATAAAAATCTTAGAAATATGTTTTAAAAAATACTATATACTAGAAATGCATTTATTTTTAAACATACGTTGAAAATTGAATAAAATTAAAAATAAAACATTTAATTTTATTAAATATAATCTTAATTATTTTTATATTTATCATGTGATACATGTTGGTCTACCAAAAACATAATAATCCCATTAACTTAAATTTCATACAAATTGCCATATAAAATTTACTAGAATATAAACTGATGTTTTATTATAGATAATTAAAAAAATGTAAATAAAAATTATATCAAAAAATAATAGATAAAGAAAGCTTTACATATGAAAATATGCGACACATGATACTGACTAATTGGTTTTGATTCAATACTAAAACTACATTCATATATTGGTAAATTGACAAATTATCTCTTAACAATAACGACCAGTCTTTATTTTATCGATATAAATTATACACCAATAGTTTACTTTATCATACTCTTTTAATTCAAAAATGTAATTTCTTAAATTTATGTGGTTGTAAATTAAGAAAGCATAAAAAAATATATGATGAAAAAAAATATGCATTATAAAATACAACTAGTATTATGATCTAAATGTTAATTTAATATGTTGTATAAGGTTGTAAATAGTGTATTATAATAAGTATAAATCTCTTTCCTTATTATCAGTTTTCATAACTTTATTTAATATTTTAGAATACTTCAAAGAACATCAATATCTACCAACATTAAAGAGCGTTTAGATTTTTCATGTGCATTATTTGGCCCAGATGGTGGATTGGTATCGAATGCACCTCATATTCCTGTGCATCTAGGTGCTATGCAAGAAGCTGTTCAATATCAAGTAATTTTTTATTTTTTATTTGGTAATTATTCAATTTAATATAGTGCTATATTATATTATTAGATACAATCAGTTGGTAATGAGATCAAAGAAGGTGATGTAATTCTTAGCAATCATCCAAAAGCAGGTGGCTCTCATTTGCCTGATTTAACTGTTATAACACCTGTGTTTTATCCGTACGTAAATCCTTTTATTTGTGTATTTTATTAAATTGTTTAAAATTTTTATTTTTGTTTTGTAGTGGACAATTAAAACCTGTCTTCTATGCTGCAAGTCGGGGACACCATGCTGATATTGGGGGTATAACACCAGGATCTATGCCACCACATTCTAAATCATTGTCAGAAGAAGGAGCCCAGTTTAAAAGTTTCTTCTTAGTTCGTAGTGGACGTTTCTGTGAGGAAGAAGTTACCAATGCTCTTATGGCTCCTGCATCATTACCTGGATCTTCTGGCACTAGAAACCTCAAGGATAATTTATCAGATTTGAAAGCACAAATTGCAGCAAATCAAAAAGTATTTTAATATTTTTTTAATTAATTTCAATAGTTTTATTTATAACAGTGTTTAATTCTAGGGTATTTACTTGGTGACTGAACTCATAAATTCTTATGGATTAAATGTTGTTCAAGCATACATGGACCATATACAAAAAAATGCAGAAATTTCAGTTAGAGACATGTTGAAAAACATTGGTAATGCTAATTTTTTAGCTTGTGGGTTGAAAACATTGGAATCAGTTGATTATTTGGATGATGGATCCATAATAAAACTTTCAGTTCAAATAAATATTCAAAATGGAGAAGCTATATTCGATTTTAGGTAATTTTAGTATTTTATTTTTGTCTTAAACTTAAATGTTTTTCAATTTAATCATTATTCTTATAGTGGAACTAGTTATGAAGTTTGGGGCAATTGTAATGCTCCAAAAGCTATTACATTATCAGCATTAATATATTGCTTGAGAAGTATGATTGGTTACGATATACCATTAAACCAAGTAATTTTCATTTTTACCATTTTAAAAATTCAGTTACATTTATTTTCTGTTGTTTATATTAGGGTTGCCTAAAACCGATCACAGTAATTATTCCTTCTGGATCTATACTTGATCCATCAGAGAATGCTGCCGTTGTTGGTGGTAATGTTTTAACTTCACAACGTATTGTTGATGTTGTGTTAAAAGCATTTGGTGCCGCTGCAGATAGCCAAGGTTGCATGAATAACATAACATTTGGCCAAGATGATTGGGGTTATTATGAAACTGTTGCTGGTGGTGCAGGAGCTGTAAGTCACAAAAATAAAGTGTTGTTTTCTAAGTACTACATTTTTATGAAGCATCATTAAATATTAATTATTATAGGGTCCTACGTGGATTGGTCGTAGTGGAGTTCACACTCATATGACAAATACTCGTATAACAGATCCTGAAATATTAGAAAAACGTTATCCTGTGTTTTTAACTACATTTACATTACGTGAAAACTCTGGGGGTAACGGCAAATATCGTGGTGGCGATGGAGTTGTGAGAGAATTACAATTTAGATCTCCAGTAACTTTGTCAATACTGACAGAAAGACGATCTTTTGCTCCAAATGGAATCAAAGGTAAAAATAATATATGTATTATTTAATATTCTTGCCACATATAATATACTAACATAATTTTTCTAAAAGATAAATATCAATTGTTTGTATAAAACATTAATTATAATAAAATAATATCTATTACAGGAGGTGAAAATGGAAAAAAAGGAGAAAATTTATTAATAAAACACGATGGCAGAAAAATTAGATTAGGTGCCAAAACTGCAGTAAACATGAATCCCGGTGTAAGGTTTTTGATAACTTAAACAAATGATGCATTTGGTATGTTATGCGATATATTGCTCTCTTATTTCATGTTGCATTTATTTTAGGATACATTTTTGTTATTAACGCCTGGTGGTGGTGGATACGGATCATCATCTGATGATAAAAACACTATAACAACTGTGAAGAAACCCATTTGTTCCTCAAGTTTAGAACGAGGATCTGGATATAATTACCGTATGCTGCAAGAATCTGCTTAAAAGCAATAAATCAATTTTTATTTACTCATTTAATTATTAAAATCTATTCATGTTTGATCATTCTATATTTTACAATTTTTTTTCAAATTTATGTTTTACTGATTTTTTGTTTACTTTGAAAAATAATTTTATAGTTAATTAAAAAATGTTTAAATTTGAAAACAAACTTATGATACTTAATACATTTATATTGTTACCAAAACACTGTTTAAAGCATCAAATGTATGTGATACTATGTGATACAATTGAGTATGATAATTTTTTATTAACACAATAATTATTTAAATGTGTTTTATTTTTTTAGTTTATTTTAATGATTACTAACTATTGTCAATTGATAAAAATTATTGTTCAATGTGATACAACTTCATGCTTGTTTTTGTTATAACAAAAGTTTATTAATATTGAAATTATGAAATTATAGATACTACTGTTATTATTGTTATATTGTTTTGTTCAATCTTCTTATTTATTTGGCCTTTTAAGAGGCTAATTCTTATTTAATAGTAACTTTCTATAAATTATTTAATAAAATGATAATAAAAATTTTTAGACAGTAGTCATTATCATGTTGAGTTGTTTTCTAAAATAATAAATTATAATAATAACATTAATCTTTATTTGTTTTAATAAATTATAAACACATTGAAATAAATTAATAGTTTATGAAATAGAAAAACAAAATATATAAATATATTTACAAGGATCATATAAATGTTAAACATACAAACTCAGAAATAAAAAATATAACCAATTTAATGTGTTATGTTATTAAAATGAATTTAAAAGTAAAACATAATAAAATTACTAAGTTCAAATAAAATTAATACCTATTAACTAAATACAATTTTTGAAAAATTAAATAATATGGTGTTAAATACTTATTTTCTGCTGACAATAGACAAGAGTATTTGCAGAAATGTTTATTGTTTAATACTATAATATGTACTTTGATTTAACAAATTCGGTAAAACACTGATTTATTTCTGAAATTGTATTTTAATTGTTAGGGATAATCAATAATAATTAAAAAAAATACTTAATCTTTTTCATGGTTATTATTTAAATAAAGCTTTAAATATTATCTTATCCAAAATAATAAAAAATTTTCCATGTGACATTAATTTAAGGTATTTAATTAATAATAATTTTAATTTTAATGTTTAATTATTACCTACAATAAAATGGAATAATACTAAATGGGTTAATACTGGTCAATAAATTATAATAGTTACATTGAATGTATTTTACTTTTTAGTACATACCTAGCCAATTGGTGGATGTATTTTTCAAAAATATTTCACTATTGTGTTTAATCATTAGAATAAATTATATAGACTTATAAGTACTAATCCTGGAGATTTTGTGGAAAAATGTTAACGTTACGTCAGGTGATACGTAATAAAAATGCATAAAACATTAAACAAGTTCTTTAATGTGGTAATATTACAGTAATTTAAATTTATCATCATAACTGTTGTAAGTTGCCTACCGTGGTTTACGATCCACAGTTGTAGTAGTACTGGATTAGATTTACTTTTTACTTTAGTCAACAAAGATCGGTCGTTGAGTCGTGTTGATTGCAATTACTAACATCAAAACTCGTCAGTGAAAGCAATTATTCAAATTTCAAAGTAAGTATATATTGTAGCTGTATGATAGATTATTAATGTATCGTTGACTTGGGCACAAATTCGCTATATTTTATCACTAGCTATAGAGTATTTTTTTTTTCAATTTCATATGTTGGTGTAAATGTACAATCACAATAAATTATTGGTCGCTCGGGCCTTGGACTTCGGTTATGGAGTTATGTCATAGACCTGAGACCATAGTCATAGTCATTTTATGTTTATTATTATTTACTTTATCACAGTTATTGTAAGGACCGAAGATAACTGAATAGTCTGAAGTCTGAATAGAGTATTACTATTTACTCTATGGACCAGAGAAAGGTAGTTGTCAGAAAAATGATAAGCAATTAATATCTTATGCTGTAGACAGTGACACCAACGTTGAAAACCAAAATGTGTTTAACAAAATAATCACAATTATCAGCAAATTACTAAAAAAACATTTAAATTTATTAATAATTTTATAACTATATTTTTTTACAAATTTGAATACAAGTAATATTTAGTACAATTAAAAAAATCAATCAATCTAGACCACAATTATGTTCTATCTCCACTTGTTTTTGAAATTCAAAAAACAGTAGAATACTAGAATGAGTAGAATGCGACTTCGACGGAATTTTAGATGGTATTTTATACATTTATAAAAATTAATAAATAATTACTAATACTAATGGCAATAAAATCTAAAAATTCTATAGCGGTCGTAAATAATTTTTGATAACACTTAACATTTGTTTATAGTCTATAATCCGGAGTCCTGATCCACAGCCTTCAGCGACTACTCGTAAATCGTAATTTTATTCGTGTAGCTTAATCTATGTAATAGTTTTAACTGGCAATACTCCGGGAGTTAAAAGATGTAATTCTACATAATGCTATACAAAATATGACAAAAAATTATTCTGAGCGTAGACTGTCTGACAGCCTACATTCCTAAATATATTTTAAGATATAGGTATTACTAATAAAGTAATTTATGTTACTAGGTAGGTATTAGTAATAGCTACAGTAGGTTGAATTAATTTTTTGTCAAAAAAGTTACATTTAAAAAAAGTCATGGTATGCATAAAATATAATAACATACTATGCGTTAAAAGTGCTAAGTACCCATGAATAATATTTTTTGAATACACGGAATAATATAATTGTTATTTTTTGCCTAATATTTAATTATATCGAAATTTGAAAATGTCTTTAAAATAAAACTGTGTTTATATATATTTTCTAGATTTTCTGTTATATATAATGAACCTTGAATTAAATTTTCAAGATTTTTAGCATAAATACTGCTTAGCTCCCAAACGATGTTTTGGAATTTTTGTTTCTCCAAAATATGTGTTTTTGCATTCTTAATTTGATAGTATTTTCAAAAAAAGTCGCACAAACTTAATTTGGAAGTTATGGTAAAAAACCTTCAAAATGCTTGATTTTTTTAAAAATGCCAAATATTTATATTTTTTTAATTTGTTAATATTTATATGCTTAATATTTTAGTGAAATCGGAATTCACCTATCGTACTTACTTTTTTTGCTTTTGTTAATAAACATGTACGACTTAATTATTAAGTTATTTCATTCATTTGCATATTAAATTAACTCAAAATTGATTTTTTAAACTTTTTTTTTTAATTTGGTGTGTAAAGACATAAAGAAGTTTTTTATGAATCAGAAATGATTTATATTTTTTGGTTTAAAAGAAATAGGTTAAAATAATAAGCAATACAAAATCAAAATGTATAGGTATAGATAATGTAGGTTTTGTATTCATAAACATATAAAAATTATTATTAATAATATTACTACATGATTATAAATTTATCTTCCTAATAACTATCTAATTAATATTCTATTTCATACTGCAGAGGTAAAATCGAAATCCATTTTTTAAAATCATATTACCTACTTGAGGTGGTGTTACATAGCAAATAGGGGATATTTTCGTTTTAAATGTTTTAAAATCAAGCATTTTGAAGTTTTTTTACCATCATAACTTCCAAATAAAGTTTGTGCAACTTTTTTTGAAAGTACTATCAAATTAAGCATGCAAAAACACACATTTTGAAAAAAAAATATTCCAAAAAATCGCTTGGGAGCTAAACTGCATTCATTCCAGATTTTTGACCGAGTGAAAATGTTATCGACATTTATAAAAAAATAAAAATGTCAAATGTCTATGTTTCTTTTTTTTTAATTTCCAATATTCAAACTAGGTGTGGTCATTATTAGTTTTGATAATTGAGGTTCTATTGTAGTTCAAATTGGGGCAAAATATTTTGAAAAGTTTTCATTTATAGAAAAATTTTAGATAAAAGTTGGTGAAAGTTTGATTTATCATATCTAAGGCATGTAAATTTTAAATGACGTCAAAAAAATTAAACGTTTTCATTTTTTCCATGGTTATTTTAAAAAATAATGAGAATTTTTTTTCTTTTGATCATCCCCACCAAATTTTTTTTCCACAAACTATTCATAAAAATATTTTGAAATTATTGTGCTATTTATAGATATTTAATTTTTTTTACATTATACAATTTTTTTTTTATGTGGATATGATTAAATTTGTGTGTATGAATAAAAACCTCAAATATTTAATACCTAAAGTTAAAACACTCATATAAAGTGACTCTAGCAAATCCTTTATCGTCTTGCCTTTGTAGTTTTGTACACTTCAAATTAATGATTCATATCCATAACTCAGGCCTGTAAACTTAAGGTGAGATACTGTGGAATACATTTATCTTTGTATGTCGGTCCATTTACCTCACCTAGGTAAAAATAGCTAAATAAGATTGATCAATTAATAGAAGGTTCCTCGTAAGTTATTCTTTTTGATATCTAAAAATCTCAAAAACACAAATTATGTTATTTTTAGTCATTTCTAGTTCGAATTCAATGAAATTGAGTAATTAAATAAAAAGTAATAACATTTGTTGTTTTGTTATTATTTAAAAAAAAAAATATATATTTATAATGATTCGAAACTTTTTGTTAAAATGATACTACGATACTATACCCACATGTGTTATCTTCATCTCACAAATTTATTATTAGATAAATTTATTAGTTTATTACGTTGTGTCTGTATGACATAGACAATAAATATTTAAGAGTAGCGGATTTTATTTTTCATAATTTATACTACACAAAAACACAATGATATTTTTCAAAATACTTTGATTCATTTTAAGTTATTAGATACCTTGCTACGACTTATTCCCACCGTTCTACTATAAGTCTATATTGCCATAAAAATGTAATAACATTGGCACGTTTATTTAATATGTAAGTATTATTATAATAATTAATCATACATTATGAATGCAATTTTTTCGGCAAAAATCTATTTAAGGGTGAAGAGGCGCCCTCCTGAAATTAAATAAAAAAATATATTATTAGACCATTTTTTTTTTGCTTTCTATTTGCCCTCTCCCCATGGAAAATTTTGGGATCCGCCACTGATTGGCTATTGAACAGAAGAGTGGTTAGGTATCTACTTACCCATTTTTTATGTAATTATTTATCCTAGTTGTCATTTGTTTAAAATAGTGTTAAAAATATTCATTTTTTTATTATTATTTTTACAGATGAAGCTTTTGTTCTTTACGGTTTTACTACTATTATATGTTGGTCATTGTATGTCAGCTAATATATTAGCATTTTTGCCTACATTTGCTAGAAGTCACTATGGCGGTTTCCAACCATTATTGAAGGAGCTTGCTGTAAGAGGTCATAATGTTACTGTTTTATCACATTTTGCTCTTAAAAATCCACCACCAAACTATCACCATATTGATGTTTCAATAAAAGATAGACAAGACAATAGTAATTATTTATTGATTTTCTTAGTTGCAAACCTTTGTACAGTAATTTTTTTGTTTATTTTCAGATTTTAGCATGTTATCTATTGCACCATACTTAAAGCCATTATTTATTCCTATTGGCTTTTTGTTTTTTGGAAGTGAAATAACACTTGAAACATTGAATAACACAAAAGTTATGGAATTTATTCATTCAGATGGCTATCAGTTTGATGTTGTAATTTTTGAAAACTTTCAACATGAATGCTTTGTTACAATGAGCCATAAATTTGGTGCCCATGCTATCCAACTATTCCCAGCTACACCAATTGCTTTTCCCTCACAATGGTATAGTCAACCCTTTAATCCTTCTTATATTCCAGATCCTAATTCTGGGTACAAAGATCATATGACTTTATATGAGCGAACTATAAATTTTCTTGTTATGTGCCTCCAATTTTTTTTGTTTCCAATATTTTACATGCCTAAACAAAATGAAATCATGTTGAAGTATTTTAATTATACTGGTTCAGAATCCAGACCATCGTTGGAAGAAATGATGAAAAATGTTTCATTAACATTAATAAACACACACTTTACTTTAGGGACACCCAGGCCACTTGTTCCAAGTTTTATAGAAGTTGCTGGAATGCATTTAAAGCCTTCTTCAAAATTACCTAAAGTAATATTTTATCTTAAATTTTTATTGCTCACTCTCTAATTCATATACATTTTTAATATTAATTTAATTTAGGATTTAGAAGAACTTATGGATAACTCACCTGATGGTGTTGTATATTTTAGTTTTGGATCTGTTGTCAAAGGTAGTCATTTGCCCACGCATCAAGTAGAAATGTTCTTGCGCCAACTAGGCCAAATCAAGCAAAAGGTTTTATGGAAATGGGAATCTGATAATTTACCAAAATTGCCACCAAATGTAGTAGTTAGAAAATGGTTCCCACAAGTTGACATTCTTGGGCATCCTAATTGTGTGCTTTTCATTACTCATGGAGGTATACATAGTGTTGAAGAGGCAGTTTACTATGGAGTTCCAATGTTGGCCATATCTGTTTTTGGAGATCAACTGTATAATTCGATAATGATGGAATCTAGAGGAGCTGCTATAAGATTAAAATACACAGAACTTACTGAAGATCGTTTTGAAAATAATTTACACCAAATTCTTAGTAATACATCGTAAGTGAATTTTATTGATAGGATACTATTATAAAAATATCATAATACCTTTGATTGATTGATTTTTTTTTTATATATATTTATATATCAGGTACAAAGAAAATGCAAAAAAATTATCTAAAATATTTCATGATCAACCAATGAAACCATTAGATAAAGCAGTTTACTGGATTGAATATGTTATACGCCATAATGGTGCTCATCATCTGAAAACTGCTGGAAACAAACTTAATTGGTTCCAGTTTTTGTTAATTGATGTGATATTTGTGGTCATAATTACTATATTTTTATTTATAATTATTTTTTTTCATACCATAAAATTGATCACTAAATGTCGCAAGTACAATACAGGAATTAATGATGATAAAAAAGATAAATAAAAATTGAACAATTGTACCTACCAATTAAGTAATCTAATATTTAATTATAAATTCAACTTTTATGAAAATTTTGATTGTAATTTTAATAAAAAATTATTATATGCAGGTTTGTAGCTAGAATTGCTTAGGTGTTTTATTTGTAAATGTTAATCTAACATTTAGTTTATATCAGCAAATAAATGTTTGATATGTGCTCTATAAAATACTAATTAAATGAAAAAAACAAAAAATTAAAAATTAAGCAATATTTGCTTGTTCAATATTTTTATTGTTTTGCTTAGTAAAACTTATCTATTTTTAATTTTAATTTTGATGAATTTGAAATTTTTAATAATAATTTTAATAATTTGTATTTATAAATTACATTTTATGATTTTATAATATTATAAGGTTTATTTTTGTTTTTTCTAACATTTCTATACTAAATTTTATTTATTATTAATTTATAACTATTTACTTACTTAATAAATTACTAAAATGGATCATTGCCCTTAATAATTAGTTTTTACTTTAAATTTAATTGAGATTAATAGTTCAAATGTTTAAATGAGTTCATATTTATATAAATTTAATAAGTTTATATCATTGTTTTTTTTTTTTTTTTTTTTTTTTTTTTTTTTGTGGATGTAGATTGTAGAAAATAAGTTCTATGGATACTAGGTACAAAATTTCTGTGTCTGTTAGGTTAGGTTAGGTTAGAAACTACATTAATGTGGTGTAATTTATGTAACTGAGCTATTTGTAATAAATTAATTTTTGTTTTGTGAAATGGATAAATACATTAAATATACTTAATGAAAATGCATTTGTAACAAATATGACATACATTAATATTAGGATATGATCAGTATAGCATGATAATAGATATAAATCTATAAGGAATCATAGATGGGAAGTTAACACCAAAACACAGAATAGATTAAACAATTTCTTCCCCATCCAAAAACTATAGTTTTACCACTGAGTATAGTATAATATGATTTTACAAAGCATATATATTTTAATTTTTGATAATTCCATAACAGTGAACGTTCATTATAATAAATTTAAGACAATTAATATTTTTTTTTTTTGTATTTTAAATAATAATTTGTTGGAATTCGGAAAAATACTAGGTAACTTTATTTTATTTGATGTTCATCAAGAGTAATAGCAGACTATGAAATTAAATTTTTAACATTTTTATGAAATGTATTTGTAATTACTAAATTACTGATTAGTAGCATCATATTTTTCAACAAAATTAATAGTGTTTATAGTTTCTTATAAATAGACAATGTTTACTTATACATTTGGAAAATTTGAACCTAATACTGAAAAAAAAAAATATAGTTTATATATCATAGCATAATATAGTAAAAAATATTCTGCTAAATAGTATATTATGATTATTTAAACCTTGTTTAAGCTAAATTAACAAGTTATATTCTCAGCCTTGTTTTGTATAAGAAGACAAATATTAAAACGTTTTTGACCTTTTTAATATTCAAATATTGCTTAAAAAATGTTAATATAACAAAATGTACCCATATATAATTATCTTCTTACTTTGCATAAAATTACAATTTAAATACTCGTATCTCCTAGTACCTATAATAATAATTAAAATTGAAAAATTATAATTGAACGTCGATATAAGTCTGGCTCGCGAAATTGTAAAACATGCTACGCCAGCTCATTTAACCATTAATATGCGCATGCGTGTGGACTTCATCATATTATTTTTCAAATCATATCTCTGATGTATACGCGCATGTAAAATATTTATAATTGATAATATTATAATTTACCGCCAGAACTCGTATTACCTTGTATAATCACAGAATAGATCTATTCTGTGCTATAATAGTGACCTCTTGGTGTCCATAAGTCACTTGACGAGTGACGACGAATATTAAAAAACTACTCTGGCAGTATCGAGTCGTTTTACGTTTGGATAGAGTAGAACACAGTTGTTGAATATGAGTTAGATTATTAAAATAATATAAAAATTAATATTTGTGAACATTTTAGGATAGAGTTTAGTGTTTACACAACTAAGCTCGAGAAATTAATTTAATAAAATACTGTGGAACAACTGAGACAAGGACTTCGTTACAAGCTGCGATGTTAGGGCGGGGCCCAATGACCTGTTTCTAAGCCTTAAAGTAATATTGGGAATGGATATAGAAAAGATGCGATGTTAGGGCGCGGCTCAATCACAGTTCTAAGTCCTACAGTTTGGGACGTTTGGGTGATCAAATACTAATTCTTTTTTGGCAGCGTCTCCGGGGCCCGGGCTCATATTTATATGATATCCTAGCTAGCAAATACCCTGTAAAGATGTTCATAGACAGTGAAACAAAGGAAGCTGAAAATGTGTTGTCGTATGACGCCCTTCTAGTTAAAATAGATCAATGCAATAATTTCTATTTCAAATAATATCTAAGAGTTGTTTTTAGTAATTTATAGATTTGTTGTCTATTACCAATTGCAAATAGATAAATCCATATTATGTCTTTGATATTCGACGGCACGAAAGACGAATCATTATGTACCTATATTGGCTATATTATGAAATATTGTATGTATATAATATATTAATATATTATATAATATTATGTTGTACAGTGATGACGCGCAACTCCGATTTACTACACTACGATAAAAATAAAAATAAATAATAATAATAATTTAGATTTAGACATAGATTATAATATATCGAATTAGACGACACCGCATATTATAATAGATAATTTCTTTTATAAATTTATGTGACCCTATGGCCTATGAAGTTATAAGTTGTATGGACGTATTGTTGTATTGTTAATGATTTAACTACTTAAACTTGTTATTTCTTAAAATGGGTATGTATTATTAATTTAGGTTTAACAGATAACTAGAGCTGTGAATTTGTAGGAAAATGCATTTTTTTTTTTAATAAATAAACACATTTATATGCATGTAAAATTTAATGTACAAATTTTGTATACAAATAACATAAGTGAAACTGAGCATGAAAATTATTAAAGATCTAATATTTGACAGAACCAAAGCCTATTCCCCAGTTCGGTTATTTTTTTTTATAATAAACGAATTAGATGCATTTTATGAAATGAAAATCTTAGACATTGCAGCTAATAGACCACCGCAATATTTGAAAAAATAAATATATTCTTACTGATGCACAGAAAAAATATTTAAAATATAAAAAACTCGATGGATATAGAAATATTTTTGAAATATATAATACTAAATAGATTTAGATGTGGGAATATGTTCTTGTCCGAAAGGTAATACGGGATATCCATGCAAACATTCAATTTTTATTGCAAAAGATAGTAATTTTGATCTTGATATTTGCCTACCTACATCAGAAGAAACTAGAAATGGCTACATATTATAACAACAGCCAACAGGATGTTCTAATATTTAGGAAGGGTAGTATAGTTCTGTGAAAAATGATGATGGTAAATTGCCAAATAAAAAACAAGATAGGTACACAAAGTCTAAATGTTCAAGATGATAATGTACAAATTGAATTTGAGGAAACAAATGTCAGTTGTAAATCAGATCTTAATTTGGAAGGTATTTGCCAAGATTTAAGTAATTGCAATGATTTAGAAGTAACCATTAAACAGTTTGATTAGTGTGTTGATAAAATGAAACGTGCTTTTGATTTAGACAAAGCATACTTTCTACCAGCCATTAAAAGTTTTGTAAAATCAATGGAAAATAATGTAAAAACACATGCAGGACTTTGTTCAGCAATGGAGACTTTTGGAAAATACTCTAGGTTAAACCCTAAATTGAAAAATTCTAAATTAATAGATAATAAAAGAATTGGAATTCAACCCACTGCAAGAGCTAAACGAACGACACAAATTGGAGGAAGAAACAATTTGACAGCAGGAAGAACCCCAAAGTAGAGACGAATACCAGAGCACTGTTACACAAATAAAATAAGTTATTATATAAGATATAAATCTCAAAATTCAATTTGTCACTATTTTTTAAAAATATATTCTATAGACTATATGCTAATACTTTATTCTATTCTAAATTGCATCGAAATGGTATGTTTCTTGTATTAATTAATATGATTTATTTTTTATTTTTGGTACTGTCGAATTAACTGACTTTTTAACGCTTCAAAAATGCGTCTAATTTTGACTTGAACTTTTACAAGAAAATTGCTCGATATTGTACATTTGCTTTAAATTTATCTATCATACTCTGAATACATGTAATTTAATATGTAAATTATATTATAATTGTGTTTAAAATATATACATAAATTCTTTATAAAATAAGTATTTTTCATTTTAGTATGTACACAAATACAGTCTGCAAATATTTTTTGGAAGTATTGAAAGTAATTGACTTAGTGTAAAAATAAAAATTTATGAAAATTATTAATGACTGATGCCAGAATCTTCATTATTTTTGTACCTTCACGTGCGCAAAATACCAAAAATCGTGATTTTCGCAAAGTTTCAACTCAAAAAACTAATGATTTGCTTCAATTTATTTTTGCATCATCGTTGAAATACATTGATTTTTGAAAAAAAAATATATGATATATATAATACATAATTAAAAAATTGTTCATTTATAAGAAAAAAGTTCGAATAACCATTTTAAATTCTTGTTTAACTCAAGAATATGCTGCTTAGATAAATATAACCTTGAAATGGCCAATCAAATAATATGCTGTTCTAAATGGTGCACATTACACGTGTTGTTTTTTACAAAAATAATTTTTCTAGATTCAAAATGAAAGTGTCTTTACATTTTTGTAAAATCATCAAATTTTCACAGTTTATAAGGGAAAACATTATCTCAACTTGAATCCCTAATTTTTAAATATTTTATTTAAAATTACTACCTATCTAAGCTTTTAAAGTTCAAAGAAAAAAAGAATTATTTAATTTAATAAAAAATTGTCATTGTTAATCATATAATATTTTATATTTTTTTGACAATTAGCATAATCATTCGTATAATCGTGTTATTTGATTCATCAAAATGTGTTATTGTCTTAATATTACTTGAACATTGTAAAACCGGGATAAGTTTTTTAACTATATGACTAGAAATATAGAGTATAATACATTATATCAATAATAGTTTTAATAAACGGATCATTACTAAATACTTACATTGTCTATTTGCTAGAAATATTTTTTTATTATTGATTCTTCCACATCGTTTTGATCAATAGATGATCTTTTATATCTGTAGTTAAAAATTACTTCATACTTAAGAAAACCATTTAATCACAATCAGAGCGATTAACATATCCCAATCACACAGCAAGTTTATGGCATTTTAAATTAAAAAATTTAATAAAGTAAAAATAAATACCTTCTTGATTGTTTTCTAAACAAAAATCAAGACACATTGTTAAGACATCACTATATTTAAAATGCATAATACATACTAATTTGTTTATTGTTTAATAAATATTTATAGTTGATGAATATAATTTATTTTTGATCATATTTGTTTTTTTTTTTTTTTATACACATTAATAATTATAAATAATCTTATAATTTTTATTCAAGCATATTTATATTTCATTTTAAATTAGAGAAATCTATGTACCTATAATTTATTTTGAAAAAATACTTTTGTATAACATAATATTATGTATGATTTGACTTGAAATACCCGCCAAATTATAAATTAGGTATCACGTTAATCATGCATTATGATAAGTGATAACACTATGAAGGGCCCACGAGTTTGTTATTTTATTTAACAGTGTTGTCTAAGTAATAAAATAAAATGTAAAATATGAAAAATATATACAAGTTGGTTCAATTTGTATAATTTATATTCATTTATTTTGTGATTTTTAATATTGTATTTCTTTACTGATTCAAATCCGGAAATCATGTAATATAAAAAAAATATTAATAGATATATTCTGATTACCTAGCGGCTACATAGCAGATTTATTGTATTTAATTGTAACACTATACTGTGTCACTGTGACAGTGTGACAGCAACTTGCATATGCTTATGAATTATGATATAATCAAAAAAAGGATTATATAACATTCAAAGTTATAACAAAATATACAAGTTTTATAATTAGTCTGAATAATATTCATAATTTTCAAATAATAATATAATTTATATTTGTTATTATAGTTTAAATATTTTTAACGCGCATTTAGCTTGAGAACCAATTTCGATTTATACAAACAAACCGTTGAAAATCGTTACCAACTTCTTCCCACACTTTTGTTTATCGCTATGACGCTTTCGCCATGACGCCATAATCTGCCAAAAAAATTGTGTTTTCTATAAAAATTATACAAATTATTACTGGTTAGAACGGTGATAACTGTGATTTACCTTTTACAATTTGTGCTTAAACGCTTAAAGTGTTTGATTATTCCAACAATAATAAACTTGTCATTGCCCATTGGGCTATTCAGTAATCAGTGTTTTACCACCCCGCCAAACATTTGCTGTCTGAATAATTATCGTTGAAATCGATGAATTCGTATTTTTGTTTATTTTTCAGATTTTAGTACTGAATTCAACGATACTCTCATTCCTGAACTGATTTATTTACCTGTATCATTTAACAAGTGAGTAATACAATGATTATTATACGATTTGGCTTAAAAATATAATTGTTTTGTGCACTGCATTGCAAATGGTTGCCGCTATCTATTTTTTTTTTTTTTTATAATTATATCGTTTTGACTATCGCGTTATTTTGCCCAAATAAATTAATAATGAATTCCATGACATTTTAAAAATAATATTGAATATAACTGGATTATGGAAATCAAATCAATTTAAAAACAATTATAAGCTTTAATATTATGTTAATTTACAATTGTTAATAAATAAACATGCCGTTTTACCTCATATTAACAAACTTATATTTATTTATTTTTGAATTGATATTTATTATGCTTTAAGGATTTCACTGTATGTTACATAAATTATAATTACCAGTTTTTAATGTTATCGTTTTCCCCATATATTATTTAACTATATAATTTATATTCTATTAGCTTAAAATGGCTATGACTTAATTGGGCATCCAAAATGAATTATTTAAATCAATCACTTTTTATTTCCTAGTACATAGTTAACAACTACATGTAATTTTTATTTGTTCAATTAGGTCTATTTAGTAATAATATGAAATATTTTTTTCTAGATTTGTTCAATGTCTTCCAAGAAAGTATTTAATATCAAAGACAAAGTCTTTGCTAAAATAAGAGGTTATCCTGCTTGGCCAGCAATAATATCTGGTATTAAAGCTGATATTCCATCACGGCAAAAGTATAATGTTTATTTTTATGGAACTGGTGAACGCGCTGAATGTAAATCAGATGAACTTTTTCCTTATGAAGAAAACAAGTCAAAACTAGGAAAACCAAACAAACGTAGATATTTTGCTGAAGCTTTATTACAAATTGAAGAAGATGGTGAAAGTATAGTTTTTCCTGATGAGGATTCATCAGTATTTGCAACACCAAGTAACACAAGTCATATAGAACAAGAATCACCTAAAGATGAATCTAATGAAGTTAAAAAATCAAATGAATCTATTGTAGAAAGTGAAGGAAAGTCATCAACTGATGAGTCTCCTTTGTCTAAAGGGAAAAAAATAGTTTCTTCCAGAAAGAGTTTGGGTCTCTCTATTTCTAAAGGAACAAAGAGAAAAATATCTGATGTAAAATCCGAAGCACCTTCTAAAAAATCATTATCAAATAAGCCAAAAATCTTGGAAACTTTAAAGCTTAAAGAAAGACCTATAGTATTGGTAGAACCATTGGATGATTGTGTAGTAGAAAGGGCAATTAGTGGACAGGTTAGTAAACTGGAATTATTTAATCTTTTTAATAGTTAATTGAAAAAAAATAAATATGTTTTATCTTTGGTTCAAGTTAATTTTATTTTTATTGATATACTTTGTGTTCACTAATTTAGAAAACACTAAATTTTTGGCCCGACTATACTGGAAAAAATTTAAACTTTTTTTGCAAATTTTATGTGTATATTTATATGCACATTTCAATTCTTTCATTTTTTAAGTACGGAAACATTTTTTTCATCAGTAGTATCCATTTTTTATACCATATTTTAATAGACTTATTTAAAAAAAAAAAAAAAAATTAACAAATTAGTAATAATTTTAAATTCAATATTGACCAAATAAGAATCATTTAAATTATAGTATATTGTTAAAATGTTTTTAGTATTCTATATTAGTTGATACTATTATCTGATTTTTGGTTAGATTATTACACTTAACTAAAATTTTATTTTTAACTCTGTTAGAGGTTAACTAGTGAATTTGTGTAAATTGCTTTTATCAAATTACCTTATGAATTAAATTAAGTGAAGTAATATCTAGAGATCTTACTGGCCAATTTATTGGCATTATGTGTGAAATTAATGCATATTATTTATAATAATTATAACTATTTATTATTATAATCATGCCAGTTATGATTATTTAATTATTTAAAACCTCAAGTTCAGTAATTTCAGAAATTAAGTATTCTCTAAATTAGTAAAGATACGGTATAGTGATTGATTATTCATTAAGCATTATATAAACCTTTATCACAATAATAAACTTCAACTAAAATCATGATTCAATTAATATAAGACATGTATTGTGTTATTTTAAGTAAAAATGTTTACATTAATAATATTGTGTTTTTCAGAAAGTAGAGCAAAGTGCTGAAAAAAATGTTAGTGTTGATGAAAAAGTTACTGAAACACTAGATAAACAATCTGAGGTTCCTAATACAACTGAAACAGTTCTTGAAACTAGTGATGTATTATCGGATTCAAGTAGAGCAGTAAAATCCTCGTCAAAAGTAAAGAATAGTCCTACCTCCAGTAGTGAAATATCTTCTACTAATAGTGTAAATGTTGGACATGTATCACGCTCTGGTCGTAAAATCAAGCCAAAAAAATATTCTGATTATGAAAATGAATCAGAGATGCCAAAACGTTCAAGATTAAGTAAAGAAAATTCCAAAGGTTCAGAGAAGTATAATACTAGCCATAATGAAACAGATGCTTCATCAGAACAAAATTGTAAAACGAAAGGTAATATTTTTGTTAATTATTTATTAATGAAATACTTTATTGCTTATTTCTTGGTCGTGATAGTTATTTATCAGTAGTAATCAAGAGAAAATATTAAGTGGTTTTATTTTCAGGAATCCCTCCCATTAACTTATTAATAGTATGTTATTATCGAGCTATAATAACTTCATATGTTGAAAGCTAATAAAAAAAAAATAAATATATTTTCAGGAATCTATTATTTTTACTGTTATTTTTATTTTATATGAAAAAAACTTTACTGGTTAATAACAAACACATCAACCTAAGTATGAAACTACTAATATATAAATCCATCATCAAACTTATCTAGACTCATCTAGACTTATCTAGATCTCTAACTTTGGGGAAATGCTAAATCAAATACAAATCAAGTTCAGACTTTTCAAAATATTGCATTAAGAGGACGTCGTACCCACATATGTTGTCTCCGTCTTACAAATGCGTAACATGGCAAATAGTACTCTCAGAAGATCACGTTTAGCTCCTTCAGCTTGAAAATTAGAATGAATTGACCTCTTTTGAAATTTAAAAGTGAGATTATTATCTAGGGCATCTCATAGGCTTTTTATTATATTTTAATTTTAAAGCAAGTTATGAGTATTTTAAAATTGTAAATTGCTTGCACGTCTTAAAATACACATAACTCGCTTTAAAATTAAAATATAATAAAAAGCCTATGAGATGCCCTAGATAATAATCTCACTTTTAAACTTCAAAAGAGGTCAATTCACTCTAATTTTCAATTTAAGAGTTAACTGTGATCTTCTGAACGTAATATTTGCAATGTTACGCATTTGTAAGACGGAAATAACATATGCGGGTACGACGTCCTCTTAAGAAAGTTGACAAATTTCCCTTCATATGTATCAAATTATACCCTCCACAATGATTTGAAAATTAAATCTGTAAAAGAAAAAGCAATAAAATATTAAAGATTTCACAATCATCTTGCTTCTCATTCCAATTCCTTAATTAAAGCTTTTTCTTTAAATGCCATTCCTGTTAATCATCCAAGGTCCTTAAAGTTTTCAACTGTATTAGAAAGAAAAAAAAAATTAATTAATTTGAAATAATCATTTAAAACTCATTATTGGGTGGTCTCTTTTATCAAATATTCATGTAATTTATATTATTTTAGCTAATACTCTTATTGTATCTATTAAAACAGATTGCGTGTATATCAATTCAAGAAGAAATATAAAGGAATTTAATTTATCTAAAATTTATACTTCTAAAAAAACATCTGGTCTTGATAAATCTAACTTGACATTTTTATTTCAGTCGTAACTAAATATATTTTTAGGATTTTGGGTATTTCGAGAAACTATTCTATTATCAAATTATCATTATTTTTAAACACATTTCTAATTAAAATTATTATCTGCAGTTATTATTATTTTTACTTTTTTTTTTTAATGAATTTGGATTATTGAGTTTTTATTTTATTTTTTTAGATACTAATTCAGACATAAGAAAGATATCTAAACATTCAGCAGCATCAGTACCATATATAAATACTTCAGAAAATAAAAATTTGGAACAAGTGAATAATGAAATCAGTGAAGACAACGAACTTCCGGTCGCAATTAAAGATCTCATGGTTGGAGCTTTGTCAAGTATAGAAACGGGTTGGAAAAAAGCCGGTCCAAAAAAAATCACTAAAATTGATATATTGCACACCGAAGTTGATCTGCTAGATGATATACATAAATTACGTATAGCTTTAAGAACTGATCATGCTGATTATGATGGAGCGTTAGATTTATTAGAGCATATTGTTGAACTTCAAATTAATGCCTTAATGTTAAAAAAACATCAAGAAGTTGTTGAAACAATTAAACAAGTGATAAGGTATACCGGTAATGCAAAAGAATGGAATCTAAATGAAGAGGAAACTATTTTACATGATGAAAAGTCGAGCCAGATTAGACGCAAGGCTGAAATAGTATTAAATAAATTTATATCATTGTTTGCTGTGTCTGATGGGCAATCATTCGATGAGATATTTAATAAAGAAGTTGAAGAATTTTTTACAAAGACTAAACATTTGGCTTGTGATCAGATATATGGGCTTACTTCAGATAAAGATTATGAATTATAATTAATTATTTTTACTTTTTAAAAATTAAGATAACCAATAATTTTTAGTAGGTACAAACCAATTGTACAATAATTTACTGTTTAATTAGAATTCCACAACTATTATTATATTATTTTTTGATTCTATTGGTTACATTATTTTGTATCCATTATTATAAGTTTTTATTAATAATATTAAATACGCTTTTACTGTTAATTTATCAATTTAGTAAGTGTGTTAAAAGTAACTTATTTAATTTATAGTATAGACGTGGGTTTTTTTCATTAAAATGACGTGAATACATTTTTCAAACTAATGATAAACATTTGTATTAATTTTGCTCTCATGTAATTGATAAAATAGATAATGTTTCATTTTTATTACATTTATATATCTTAAGTATTTATGTGTGAGTAAATTGAAAATCAATCACAAATATTTATACATGGAGATTTTATAAATACAGACTATGGATAATTTAATGAAAATGAAATCTATTACATTAATTATTAATTGTGCACAATATTATGGTATTTAGTTAATGTAAAATTATTAAGAATAGTTTAATTTTTTCCTTCAATAAAACACTTTGTATAAATGAAGTTTACCATAAATAAAGATAAATTAACAGCAAAAATCTCACTAAACTGAATAATTATTGATTTTTTATTAACCATCGTATTAATTAAGAAATATACATAATCTAATCTAACCCAATGTTATGTTTGCTACGAATACGAGTTGTCCTTGATAATTGTTGAGTTATTTCTTGATATGAAATATTAATATAATATTTTAATCTAAACTTTACAATAGATATTAAAAATATGATTGCTATAACAAATTCAATGTTTATTATTTGTTTAGTATGTAACATGCAAATATGCCATCAATATAACAATTTTTTTTTTAATTTAAAAGCAAATAACTATAAAAACTTAGATTTTTACATAATTTTTCATGTAAGGTATAGTTTTTAAAATAATCATGAGAAATTTTTGATTTTTTTTTTTAGTTTTATTTCAAGAAACGTTAATAAAAACATATTCAAATGTGATACATGACTCCACAAACTTATTCTATACCATATATATTTATAAAAAAATGTTGAAAAAACATTAGCTCAATTTTTTGTGAAGTTTAAATTTTTATAAAATTTGTCAAAATTACAAACTAAAAAGTATTTTGTAGTAAAAAAATGTTTAAGATATTTAATTTTTAAAGCTAAAGTTAAAATACACTATTCTTCATTAGTATTTTATAATGAAACTAACAAATTTTAAAAATATACGTATTTTAACAACAATCAACGATGCCAATTATTTTGTAATAAATCAAAAATATTCGTGCAGATTTAAACATTTTACGTTATTACGTGTATTATATTATTTTTAATTGTATCATACGCAATGACATTTTTAATTGTAATTTTATAATATTATTTATTAATACTATTAACCTTTTTTTTTACTATTTTACTGTGTTTACAAAAAAATAATTAATTAAATTTCTGGTTATGTAAGTTGATATAATATGGTATACATTTATATTAATATGATGATTATATAGTAATAATATAATGTATCTATGCAATATTATTGGAAAAATTATATCAGTCTACCGTGATACTAAAAGTAAAATAAGTGGACTACATCAAAAACACATGTTATGAAATATATTTATTGATATAGGCAGATTCCCACATACTGTCTCCGTTTAAAATCGTTTTTTGTGTACAATGACTACAATGATAAATCATTGAATTAAAATTTATATTTAACATATAGAATATAAATTAGAAAATATAAATTTTAGATAATTTATTTTTTAATTTTTGTTCTTTTCCCCTGGATTGGTTGTATATTGTTTGTTATTTCTTTTTAAAATGAACATTACAAATATGAATATTTTTAACTTTATAAGTTATTTATTTATAGTTATTTTAAGTATTATAATTTATAATATAATTTTTACAACGGTTTATTATCTTTTTCAATGATTTAGAGAACTTATTAATTATTAATTATTTAACTGTCTTAAGTGACTTTTTTTTATAGATTCTTAATTGATTATGATTCTCATACTATTATATACTCCAAGATTTAATTTCCATTAATCTTGGCTTGGTATAGACAAGTTCATATAAAATTAAAAATATAAACATTAAAATTAAACATTTTCTTGTGTTATCATTAATCGCCTGATATCAACAGACAGCAGTATTCTAATATAACTATATAACCTTCAAATTAGCTTACTAGTTATTTAATTGTTTGACATTTTAACGTCAAATTATTTAATGATATAGTACCATTTTACTATCTTAAATCATACATATAATGATTAAGAATATTAAATTTCTTGGTACTTGAAAACGCATCGAATTAGATTGTGATGTCAAATTGACAAATTATTGAAATTAATTTAGTAAAGCATTAGTATCTCTTATATATATATAATTTATAAAACACGTTGTTCGGTAATGTTTTTTAATGTTATCTGTCTGATAAATAATGTTAGATAACGAATTTAATCGTGCAACTTGAATTGATCGTTGAATGTTTCTATTGGACATTAGCAGTTAGCACTTAAATTATTTATTCATTTTTGATTGATTTTAATAAATTACTTTTTAAACTATTCGGTGGAGTATTTACAATTTTATCGAAATTTTGTTCTTTTAGTAAAGAAAAGACGTGTCAAAAAAATGGGCGATTCTAGTAGTTTAAAGTAAGCATTTAAGAATTTCTCATTTTTTATATTTATTGTTTAACTTATCCATTTTAGACCAGGAACCATTGTAGGCTTTGGTAATCCATTATTGGACATGACTGTTGTCGGTGATCAAAATTTATTAGATAAATATGATCTAAAAAATAATAACGCTATCTTGGCTGAGGAAAAACACATGCCCCTTTATGAAGAATTGATGAAGAATGAAAATACTGAATACACTGCTGGAGGTTCAGCTCAAAATTCTTTAAGGGTGGCACAGGTATTTTCAGTGCTAAACCAAAAAAGTCATTTTTATTTTTATTAAAAAAATATGTATTATTTTTTTAGTGGATTTTAGAAAAACCTAACGTGGCTGTGTTTTTTGGTGCAGTTGGCCAAGATAAATACAGCGAGATTTTGAAACTCAAAGCTAACAATGAAGGAGTTGATGTTAAATACCAATATTCTTCAAAAAAGCCCACTGGTAAATAAATATAACAATTAGTTTTAACTTAAAAAACAAATTGTGTAAAATATAAAAATTTTACTCAGGTACTTGTGCGGTTATTGTCACCAATAATGGCAAGGATAGATCTTTATGTGCTAATTTATCAGCTGCAGAAACTTTTACTGAAGACCATTTAGATGTTCCTGAAAATAAGATCATTATTGAAAATGCTAAGTTTTATTTAGCTACTGTAAGTTAATTTAGTATTACACAAACTTAATTTAATTAAAAAAAAAAATTGTTATTCATATTATGTTGTAACAAATAGATCTTGTTATAAATTACAATTATTTGTAATAAAAATATTATTTCTTGTACAAGATATTTTGTATATTATTAATTATTATAATTATGATATATATATGATTTACTTTATTTATTTAAATATTTCATTATTGAATTATATTCTTAGTTTATACTAATAGAGTAATCTAATAACTAATAATGAAATTATTTATTTTTAGGGTTTTTTCTTACAAGTCAATGCAAAAGCTGTTCAAAAAATTGCTAAGGTTGCTTTTGAACGAAAATGTCCATTTTTATATAATATGAGTGCACCATTTATTTATCAATTTTATATGGATTCGGTTATGTCTATTTTTCGTTTTGTTAACATTGTAGTTGGAAATGATGAAGTTAGAAACATTTTATTTAGTTTTAATCTAAATTAATATTTATTAATATATAATATTTATTTCATTTAAGGAAGCCAAAGCCTTTTCTGAAGGACAAAATTGGAATTTAGATAATATTGAAGAAATTGCAAGTAAATTAAGTACTTTTGATATTGAGAATGGTAATCGTCTAGTTATTATAACTCAAGGTGAAAAATCGGTTCTTGTAGTTAAAGGTAAATATATTAATTAAAATAATTATAAACATTTACAAGTTGTAATATATGTTTGTTCGTTAAATTTGAAATTCTAAATATTCATAGAACTAAGAACATGATTTTAAATATCTATTTCATAGATGGAGTTATTACACATTATCCAGTGCCTAAATTACCAGCAAGTGATATTATTGATTCTAATGGTGCTGGTGATGCATTTATTGGTGGTAAGACTAGTTTTACAAAATAGTTTATCTTATATATTTTTTTTTAAATTCTTTTTTATTAGGTTTTATCAGCAAGTATATTTTGGGATGTCCAATTAAAACCTGTGTAGAAGCTGGAATTAATGCTGGATCATATATTATACAACAACCAGGAATATCAAAAGGAGATTCATTCAAAATATAAAAATGTGTTGTAAGACACTTTACAGTAAAATCAGTTGTCATGCAAGATCATTTTTTATTGATTAGACCTCTTATTATATAACTGTTTTTATTCAACAATTATTTTGTTATGATTATAAATAATGATTGACAATAAATACATTTGGAACAAGGTTTGATATTTACTTCACTTATTAAAGTAAGAATTAATTATCTTTATAACTTTATTGTGAAGACATCACAAGAATGTAATATTTACAAAACAATATAATACATTTCAAGTCCATAACTGTACTATTGAGACAAGACAAAATATAATTAAGAAATAAAGTACAAAATATTTTAAATTTTTATAGACAACAATGTTAATAATTATTTAACAGTACTACTAATTTTTTAAAACTATGCAAGTGAGTTTCGTCTAATCCAATATCATTGGCATACATACCAAAATTCAATGCTAACATAACAGTACAAGTCTTAACGTGTGTTTTCAAATATTCAATTTTCTTGGTCTTTTGGTTGTTAAAATTTCTTTGTTGGACATCCAATTGATTTTTCAAGTCCAAAATAGTGCTAACAATTTGTCCTAGTTGTTCTCTAACTATACCATACTCGTCCTCTTTTAATGAAACCACAGCTAAATTTGAAAGTATATAACAGCACCAAACTGTTCTTTCAAATTCTTCTAATAATTTATCTTTGTCTAATGGTCCAAAAAAATATTTATATAGCCAGATTTTTTCAACAAAATATAATAATTTTCTGTGCTGATTTAAATTTTCTTCTGATGGTTTGCTACTGACTCTATCATTAATATGTATTAATCTAGCATTGGTTATATTGCGCCGATTTATTAACTTTAGTGGTATATGGTTGACTACATTTTTCATGTCCTCTATGGTAGATTTTATGTTATTCATACAATAGTTAAATATAATTTTCCAACTTTGTGGAACATTTCCTGCGAAACTTAAGCTAAATATTTCTTTTCTTCTTTCTGCATCTTTGATAGTTGCTTGGTAAAGATCATATAGTGCTAATGATTTTATAATCTTATTATCAATATTTAAAGCATTAAGTAAACAATTATCATCTTGTTTCATGGTCACAATCGGAAATATAATACGTTCAGTCATAGTTAAAAATATAATATGTTCAAATGAATAAAACAAATATAACACTAGCAGTATTGAAAACCATAGGGTTGAGAAAAAATAAAAATCTGTACATAATTTCGGTTCAATCACATATAATGGAATAAATATGAAAAATACATACAAAAATGATTTTTTCAACGACTTAAAAATTATTTCTGAAAGTTTAGACATAAACATTGAATATTTTGTAGTATGTATAATCGGAAAGTGAAAGTCTTGTTTAAAGTAAACATTTTCATAGTGGAATAATATGCCAGTCAGAGCACATCCAATATTGAGTAAATACCAAATTTTTTCATCATGATAAAATGGATTTAGACCGGAAAGAAACCATGCACTGACCGAAAACATGGACGCAAGTAATATGGTTTGAATTGATAATCCTTTGACAATTTTGCTAAAACGGTTGGTACAAGGTACTTCTGTTCTTACATATCTGCGAGAACTGGTTATAATAAATAATAAAACAGCTACTATAACTGTCGGTACGTAAAATAAGGAATACAAGCTGAATGTGAAGCTGAGAATCGACCGAAGTGATAATAAAAATGCTGTTACATACGTGAATAACAAAGAATTGAATGTAGATTTTAATATTCTTGTTAAAAAAATGTTTGAAGTAGACGTCATTCTGTCGGTTTTTTTTTTAACTTCATTTAACGAAACATTTTTTTATCATTTAACATAAAATTAAAGACTTATTGATATATTTTTCTTTAACGAGAGCGGTTTCAAATAATAAACAAAACTTTTAAAATTTAATTGATAAATATTACTTTTATATTATTATACGCACTCATTACTCAACGTCAACCGTTAAAAATTAAAATCGAATATTGTAGCTATACAAATAATACAGTAAACATTATACATTGCTGATACATTCCACATTGGTATCATAATATATTCATCAGGTTATCTGAAAATTATGAATTTTAGTCCATGATTGGTTACTTTTTTATATTGCACCGGTATTTTTAGGTTACAATTATACCGTGTTTATTCAATGATATACCATTACAAATCATTATTTCAAAGATATTTTAAATGAAATTCATTATTCAAAAGTGAAGTAGTGAGCACCTATTCAAATAGTTATTTAAATTTTAATTTTAATTACTTACCCGAATCACGATATGATTATATGAATATGAATTAATAGATCTTCTGCAAATTACAATTCACATTATAGTATTTAGACCTTCACGAGCTTCGTTTAGGAAACATATATAGGTACTTAATTAAGTTTATTGTTTAAAATTGTAATTAACAGAATTTACCTATTAATATTATATTATTCATATATAAGTCAAACATGAAATATTGAATAACAATGGCGTATTTATGGTAGGAGGAATAGATTCTTTTGTTTTCATTTTTTTTAAGACCCAGTAAAACAGTATAGTTGTTCCTTACAAGTTATAAGTTATAAATTTGTTATCTTGTGAACTGCCACTAAAATTACCATTGAATAAATTTACATATTTCTATGTCAATATTTAATCAATGGAATTACACAATAACAACAACACAATTAAGATATGACCATACTGTGGCGTTGAAACTGGACCTTACACAGAGTAACTGAGGTTAAAAGGTTGCAATAGCTATACGTCTATCCCCAATTTTATTTTATGATAAAAGACTATTTTTTGGCTGGGATACCAGGCATCAGCATTAAAAATATTATATACAATTTTTGGGAGACTTATAAATTAGGTATATAATTTATAAAAGTTATTTCATATCCCCTTTCTCAAAAAAATCCTATACATGCTTCTGTTGTATAATAATCAATACTTATAACATCAAAAATTATATATATTAACAGGTCTATCTAAAAGTAATAGGTACCTATAGCATGATTATTTAAATACGAATAAATATAAACATAAAGGTATGCTTTATAACTCAACTTTTTTTAAATAACTTTGATTTAATCACAAAAAGATATTTTGTTTCGAATTATAACATATCATTATTGAAACGACTTTTAAAATAAAATCAATAATCATCAGGTAATCATATTGTGTAGGTATAAAAATGAAGATTTTTTTGAAATGTATCATATTTAATTTGTAAAATTGAAATTTGACAGTATTAAAAAAGAACATATTTCTTAATGAAAATCCATAAAATAAAAAAAAAATGTGTTCTATAATAGTTTTTAATCTAATATAAAACAATTTTTCTAGATAGGTATATAAAGTAAACGTAACTAGGTAAACCAAAAAAATATAGCTTAAAGCTAAAGTTTCATACTTTCAGTAATACGCTTTATAAAATAAAATACATATGCTATTTATTTGACAGATAAACAATCACCAAAAATAAAAAATAAATAGCAAAAATTGGTAATCCTTCTACTGTAGTAATGCATAGATTTCAAGTATACCTTGTCATAAAACATAAAAGAGCAAATGACTATTGCATTTTGAATTCAATGTTAAATCATTTCATATGAAAAAGGATTTCGAGTGAAAACGGTCTGTCAGTCAATGAATTATTAAGTATTTTTTATGGTATATCGTACATTTATAATAATATTTAAGTAATTTATTTAATTATTTTACTATTAAAATGATACAGTGCTACAATAGGCTTAATTAATTTTTGTCCAAAAAATCATATTTATATATATTATAAAAACTAAAATCATTATTCTTCGTTTTAATAAAAAAATGTGTCCAAATTTGAAATTAAATATCTATTAAAAATAGTACATATTTTAGATTTATTGGTTACAGTAAAGCTAATAACGAAGATAGACTTAGTATTAAATTTTCATTCTTTATCTATAAAAATTAAAAATATGTAATTTTTAAACTACAAAATTATTCATACACTTTTTTGATTTTGAAGAATTTTGTCAAAATGTGTAGTTTAAATAGTAATAAATAAAAAAAAAATTAGTAACTATGTTAACAACTTTAATAACAACTTATGAGAAACCTAGTAATAACTTTCTAGCTTTTTGACCAGGGGAAAATATTTTGATAACATCAATAAAAAAAAAAAATTAAAGTTAATTAATAAAAATATATATAAAAAATATATTGATAATTTTGTCTTTAATAGACAATGTTAATATAATGGTATTTGCGTATGAGTAGTTGTATGTTTACAGTGCCGGATTTAGAACAAGTGCTGCCTTAGGCCCTTTTAAATATGCCACCCCAACCCCATGAAAAAAAAATGTAGTATTTATTTCTCAAATCCATAGATTTACTTCTAAGTTTTTTAAATATGTATATTAGATATTATATCATAATAATTTACGCAGTTACATAAATGCATAAAATATTTATACGATTTTTTTTCATTTCTTACAAAATTTGTCGGCCTAGGAGTAAATCTGGCCCTGTATATCTATTATCTGTACGACTATACGTTTTATTAAATCTGCAATTCAAGAACAATTTATTGTTTCCAGAGTAAAAGGTTTTACAATAATAGTTATTATAAATGTGAAAATTGTTTTAAACCAGAAAACTTCTTAATCAATTATCGCGAATGATGCGGTTTTAATACTATTGATACAGTATTATTATTTCATTTATAAATATTTAATTTAATTGTAGGTTTTAAAAATAATATTCTTAATATTATATGTAGGTAATTTACTTCTTTTAGATTAGAGACTAGCGACCTTTTGGACTTTCGGGCTACATTTGTATAATTTAAACTATAAATTAAATACAAAAATTGTTCGGTAAAAAAGGCTTAGTGTGATTTTTATTGTTGAATATTTTTTACAATTTTTTTCAATGTTCACATCAAAATTTAGATCAAGACTTAAGTCTGGTTTAAAAAAAAAGGTTACTTTTCCTGAGGCCTAGGTTGTTCATTTTGAAACAAATAATACATCTAATTTGTTAGGTATGTAACAAAGTAAATCAGTAAATATAAAATCTGAGATAAAAATAAAAATAAAAATTGATCATTTCATAAACATTTTACTCTGAGTATAAAGTATTAAAATCTATGAATAATTTATATTTATTATTATCATAGGATTACTGGATTAGATATATCTTTATAGCTTACTTTATCCTTATTATATTTATTTCTCATTGAATATCAATGTGTATTAATTGTTTTATTCTTTAAAGTTTTAAACTTTAAACACTTTTAAATTAATATTAATTATCAGCTGCACAGATATAAAAAATTAACTTAATTATTTATATCTAGGATCATATCTTCAAATACGCAGAAATAGATAATATACTAATTACTATACATATTAAATACTTTCCCAGAGTTATACGGGGGGAACTAGTTGACCAAAGATCAAGTTGATATATCGTTATTTTTTTTTTTTGGGCGTACCCGTTGCTATCAACATTTTTTTATTAGGGCTCTTAAATCCAAGCCCTAAAGAATGTGATTATTTCTATAGTCTATACGCCTTAAATTCATTACTCCAAAACAAAACAGTTATCTAATAACTATTACCTACCTATATCATAACATTACCTATTCGATTTTATTCACTATTCTTTTGTGCATTATGTTTAATAAATGTGTTTATATTTGTTGAATGATTGATATTAGCAAATATTGTGTTAATTGATAATTTTTTTGTTAATATGCATAATCTACTAAAACCAATTTTAATAGCGTTTTGTGTAGCTTCATGTAAGTTATATGTACAAAATATTTTAACTATAGTCTATCATTTCTTTCAACAAACGTATCTAGTATAGGTGATGCCAAATCAGATAAACTATACATTTTTGAGTTTTACTTTAAATTTCTGAATTATTAGTTATCATTAAATTTATTATAATGTTATTATAATTTATTTCAATGTACATAGTTTCGATTTGAATTAATTTAAATTTTATTTTGAATAGTATACATTTTAATGCTTCTAATGATAAGTAAAAAGGTTATAGGTACTTTGAGAAACATTTTTCAGGAAGTTTGAAATGTATTATATACCTATTAAAATTTCATTTGGCACTTATAATTTTAGTGTGTGGAAGTTACGAACTTAACAAGGCAAATACAAAATGTAATATTCCATTGGTGATTCGTGGGCAATGGTATTCTTGGGAAAATGGACGCAGTACAACAACAGAAATTGATGCGACAAGTATGTCTAAACGAGGGAATTGCATTCGATCAATGGAAGAAAATCAAGTAAATTTCACTTTTGTATTTCAAAAGAGTGCTGGTGATTGTTATACTTGTGTCAAATTCATGGTTCGTACTGTCAATGTATTGGATAAAATGGAAAGTAAGTTACCTGTTGATAAACATTTTAATTTTTAATTTTTAATCTCAAAATATTTTAAGGTGTTTGTATGACTTTAAATCCTAATGAGTATGAATCTCCTGATAAAATATGTCAATTCCAAGACACACAATTAATTACATTATTTTCGGAAAATTACATTCCTGTGAATTGTCGGTCCAGTCTTGAAGGCGTATGGCAATTTGCATACCAGGTATTAGAACTTTAATGTGATTATTAAATAAATGTTATCAGCAGTAATTCTAATATTAAATTTTAATTTTATAGAATCGTTTTCGTTTCACTGGTGAATGTAATAATCCTGAAGCACAAATTAAATCTTGTCAAACTGCTGGAACACAATTTTTAATAACTAATCAAAAATTTAATATAACATATAAAAAATGCCCTGGTATGACAGGCACATTTGATGGAGGTAAATTTTTAATTACTTTTCAACTTGATTGAAAAATACTAATTTTCCTTTGTTTTTATTAGTTGTTGAGTACAGTTGTTTAGGAGACTGGTTTGTGGACAAAAATCATTTCTTTGCTGTAGCTAATACTAAAGAGTCTCGAAAAGATGAAAAATATCGATGTTTTTTAAAAAATCGAGATGATGATTTGTATATTGGTGTATCTATTACAGCAGAGTGCAATACACTTCAGACAGTAGAAAAAAGTCCAGAGAGATTACATATAAATCCTGGTAATTAATTCTTTAATTTAATAAAAATTGTTAATTTTTGTAGTTATTAATATAATTAATCTAGCTTTTAATACCATTATTTATTCATGCAGTGAAAGCTGAAGTTGTAGAGGCAGGTTGCCGACTACCTCAAAATTATAGTGGTGAATGGGTGAACACGGCCAATATGGATGCTGATGTATTTATTAATGAAACCCATGTAATTGAAACATGGTACCCAGATGAAGCACGATTTAGACGAACAATATATGTATGTCGTGAACAAAGAGGATCTCGTTATATGATGGCACGGCTCACTGTTGATGGATGGTATACGTTATTTTAATTGTATAGTATTTTAATATCTCATAATATTTTTTATTTATTGTAATATAGTCAAAAGGATTATGTATGTTTCGATTTTGTACCCCGACATCATAATATTATTCGTTATAGAAGAGGTATAGCATTTATTAGAGATAACTTTCATACTGTGTGCTCTTGGGTACAATTTCCAAATAAAGATAATTGGAAATATGATATTTTCGTTTGTAAGTTTATTTTTTCACTTTTATTAAAACAACTTATTATTTAAAAAAATATTTATTGTTATAATAATATTTTTAGCTAAAACTCCAGTTCCTATAAGATGTCCAGTGGCAGGTAAATTTAACTTCACTCAAAAAGGCGATTTTTTATTTGAAACTCGTATTCTTGGTGGTGTTACATTATCACCTCGTCCACAAATTACCTGTAAGGACACAATATCAGATTTTGCTGCCTGTGATGGTGATCAAAAAGAGATTACTATTGATGAATCATTTTGCCTTGATGTGGACCATCGTGGACAACCTGTAGATATTTATAGCGATCCTGACTACAGATTACAATGCATAGGTTACTGGAAAGAAAATTTGAAGTCTTATTTAATGACATACGATCCTCTTGATGCTGCTAGCATGTATAGATGTTGGGTATATCAACGAGCTGATCTTAACCGTGTACTAATGTCACAAGCTATAGGATCATTTTGTGATCTTAAACAAGATGCATTTAGTAATAACTATACAGAAGGAGCCACTGTTGCTATTGAAATGACAGAATATGAACGTGAAAGTAAGCAATTTCGATTGTAGTAATAATTTTAAATAAATTATAATTAAAATTAAAATTTTAAAATTTTAGGAGATCAATGTCCAATGTATTTTGATGATGGCGCTAATCCATGGGTTCATGCTGATAATTATATACAAGTATTTAAATATGGTCGATCGTCTACATTAATTATTTCATCAAGTATGCTCTCAGTAGCTATTCTCTTTACCATTCTGTTGTAAATTTTAATTGATATGCCTTATCAAGTAATAGTTTACACTTTTAGTAGCTTTAAACAGTTTATCACATAACCAAGATTTTGTTGTTTATCTATTGTATGTGTAAAATACCCATGATTTTTTTTAAATTACCTTGATTATTATGATTGTGTATGCGTCATTTTTTTTTTGACTCAAAGTATTTCAAGTTTAAAACTTAGATTTTTATTACTATACCCTACAATATGTATTGTTTGATGTTTCATAAATCATAAAATACGTTCTTATGAAATTTGATAATAATATTTTGTAATTTTTATATTATATAGACCATTCCATTAATTTTTAGATCAATTTTTATTGGTATTCTATTTATTAAATTCCAAAAATTAATCTATTTATTAATCCTGTTACAAATGTATACACAAATGAATGATTTTAAAGTTTATTAAATCATAAAATTAAATATTGATATTACTTATATAATTATTATTGATATGGTAGTAAGTTGCTTTGAGAGCAATAGAAAAAAATATATAAATAATACAAACTTGTCTAGCGCTAGTCAAGTTAATTTTTGACGTATATTTTACCATCTTTTATTAGGTTTACTATAATCATTTTGTTAGTAATCTCATTTCGTAGTCATTTTAAATATATTTTAATAATCAATTTATGCAATTTCATATTATTATTATTATTATTAATTATAATATATTTAATGATAAAGAACAAAATGTAATAAACAAAACCTGACTGTTCATTATGATTATTGTTATTCTGATGTTAAAAATTGTAAAAAATATAGATTTATATATACAACTATAGACATTTAGATATTACCTTAATTTATTTTGTGTTTATAAAAATGATTTTATATTATATTTTTTTGAATAATAATTAATATTAATTAATCTATATTTAATGTTTTACAATTAATTATAAGTAATTTAAATGTGATAAGTGCAAAATGATCCGTCCAATTTCGTGTTCAGCAAATTGTAAAAAAAAAAATATGTTTAATACATTTATTTTTGTGTACAACTTGATAATATGTTTAATGCATTTTAAAATTATTCATTTTTTATAATATGTACCATTTTGATGATGGGAACTAAATTCTAATTTTATACAAGAATTTTGTAATTTTTTTTTTTTTTTATTAAAAACATAATTATATTTATCATATTTTTTTTTATTATTACTACTGAATTAATATCTATATTTTTGTCTATACATTTATTTACAATTAATTTAAGTGGAAAACCTGTCATTTTCTTGAAGAAGTAAAATATATAACTGTAAAAATATTATTGTATAATTTACCATACTGTTACAAATAACATTACTATGAAGACTGTATAAAATTATATAACAAATTAATTAGTATTTAGAACATGATCAGTTTGTAAGTATTTTACTCCAACACTGTACATTATTAAAAACAACTTATTCAGAAGAATTATTATTTATTAACATTACTGTTAAGATTTTTCAGAAAAATTAATCTTTACCAAACAATGGTGCTATTTCTGGTTGGTCAATTCTGATCAATTTTTTGGCCACATTCAAATAGGCAGTGTATTTCACCGTGGTTGGTTCTGTATCGTAATGATAGTGTCCTCCTACTCCATGATTACTGAACAAATGAAAATGTTGAGGTCTCAGATCCAAATCCTATAGAATTAAACAAATTAAGATTTTGGTGTGATATAAAGACCAGTAGAAAACAATAAATAATCTAATAAAATTTGTTTTATAGAACACATTGACACAATGATTTGAAAAAATTAAAATAACAAAAAATCTAAAAATTATTTATAAAATAATATTATTATCACCGGATCGTGAGAGACGAGGTATCCGACACCCACCAAGGGTGTATCCACTTCAAAAAACTTAAGCCAATTGTTCAAATCAGTTTCAGAGTGGAGGGGTGTTTTTGAAAAATCACGCATGACGTGAACTTTTACTTTACTTGTTTCAATTAAAATCACTCCACCCAAACCTAAAAATGTATCATATTTATTGACAAATAATATTTTTTTGAATCATAATATAATTAATAAATAATTTATAGGTAGGTTCTTACCGACCGGTTTGTTGCCAAAGTATTTTGCCAACGCTAGTCTGATAGATGTCACGAAATCTAACGGGCCGTTCCGCGTTTCGCACACTATTCTCAAAACCTAAAAAAAAATGTAATTTTATCATTATACACATAGTTTTTCACACAATATATCATTTTTATAACGGAAGAAGTTATCTATTCCTTTACTCTTTTTCATTTTTTTGTTACAAAAACACGTTTACTTTGATTGGCGATAAATTTATCTGATTTTTAAGCATAAATATCCATTATGAAAATGAAAGAGAACAATATTTTGAAAAGTATAGTGAAGCATTTTTACAAAAAATCCTAAAAGGTTGAACTAAAAATTTAAAAATATGGATTACTTAATATAAATTATAATTCACTCAGTATACTTTACCCTTTACCCCATTATCCCTTGAGTAATTTTAATTTACAAATTTTAAAAAGAAATATACATATGATTTGCTGTCTTCAAGCAAGTTTATGAAGAATATGATAGTATTAAAAAAGAAAAGTTATGAATAGCCATGGAAAAATTTGGAGTGCTTGTTTAAATAATCCAGCTTCACTGGCTTTTTCCACTAAAAATGTAATTTCAACAATAATGGTTAAGTTAAATACGAAAAGCAAATATCAGAGGGTTTTGAAGTTACATCAGGACTTACACAAAGAGACGTACCCTCCTAAATTTTATTTAATTTAACATCGAAGTTTTGGAGAAAGTTTTAATGGTGAAGATAACGAATTACAACCTTGTATCGACACATGTAGTGAGGAAGGAAGGTATTGAATTCTACACTGGTACTTTATTGTAGAAATATTGTTACTATATTGTAGAAAGATAAGGTGACTGTTGAAGCGGATTATAAAAAATGATGGTGTGGAATAAAACAAGAAATGATAAATACCCGTGAGCTGTATTATTTTCTTTGGGGAACTCTGAAAATTTTTTGAAATGTCTTAAATAGATCGCTGATTTCTGGTATATGAATAGACTTGAGTACGTTTTTGAATAGAGGTAGTTGTTCACATTCAAATATATTATTATCGGTCAGAAATACGTCAGTTCAGTTTCACAATCTGTAGTTGACAAAATAGCAAAATGATTAGGTGAAATGAAAGATTTAATTTTTTCCCTTTGTGTTGTAGAGAGCTGGAATGCAGAGACAAATTTCGTTTTAAATTCGTTTCAAGTACCAAGAGGTGATTAAGGCGATAACATAATATATATGACCAATACATAGTGAATTAGTGCATAACTATAAATTATTATAGATTGCATTATTCTAATAACGAAATGGAATACGGTCACTATAAAAGGTTAACAATACGAAGTACAATAACATATAGGTATGCACCTGAGATTGTAGAAGAAAATATACTGAAGTATCTAATATTTATATCTGTAAAAAAATTATAAAAATATATAAAAAATTTAAAATTAATTACTTTCATATTAATTTATAAATGTACTAGAAAATTAATTTAGAAAATAAAAATATAAACTAATAGTTGATATACCGACCGTTTAGCTCAGGATCGTTTTTGTATAGGTATACAATTATTGCATTAAAATTTAACACATATATTACAGTTATTTACTCCTCAACTACGATGTACTGATGTACATTCGAAACTTATTTTTGCATTATATTAGTGTATAACTGAGTGGTTATCTAATTTTGGTTTTTTATTTGTATATTATTATACTTATAAATTATTATATTATACTTTGGTTTTTACATTTTTAATATGTATTTAATTAATAAAATTATCGTATAATATGGGGTAATAATATACATGCATACAAAATATAAATTATAATTATAAATAACTTAAATTTTTTAGAAATGTACAATTGTATAAATATTTAATGAGCATTCAAGCATTCTAGTACAAAATTCTAATAAATACAAAACTTGATAAAACAATTCAATATTTTCAACAAATGTTATATTAATTATTAATATTTTATATTTATATATTGTTATTTAATGGTCTCAGTGAGATAAAATAAGCAAATTATACATTAATGTAGTATATTTTACTACAGGTTTATTACCTACCTCTCCTTTAAAACCGTGACTAGTGAAAAAATTGGCCAACAGCGTGAATCGCATTTCGTCTTGAGGCAAACGGTTGTGCACTTGATTCTCAGTCTGGAGATCGACTTTATAAAGGTGAGAACAATTATTGTTTACGTTATTTTTGGAAGTCAATTGTACGTTTCCTATAAACTAAGAAACGTGAAACAACAGATATTGTTAGACGAATTATACGTAAAATAATATACTAATACATGATTTCAGTTTCCCTTTTATAATATAAACTATAAAGTTGAGTAATAATATTTGAATTTTTTAGTAATATGAATATTATTCTATGTTACATAGCCACTTAATATATTCACTTGACTGGCTAGTCAGGTGAATATATTAAATGATAAATAATGATCGGTCAATTTCAACGAATAAATATTACCCGTTTATAGTCTTATAGATTTAAAATTGTACGAAACAATATGGTTTAAAAATATAGTTTAAGTATTTATGATATTAGTACACATCTTACTTCACAGTTCACTCCCGCATGTGGCCACGGACCGGCGCCTGCTCCAATCACAAACAAAGGGTCCGTTTTGGTAATTTTTGTGAAGTCTCTGATATCGTAAACTTTGTTTAAGTTCACCAAGGGTAGCAAAAATGATGGGCTTCCGATGTCGATTACCGTTTCGTCACCATTCAGTCCTTTGTAATACCCACATCATAATATGTAAATTTATTATAAATAATCAAATCCATACTGTGTAACGAACACTTTAATATAATATAGGTATTGTATTATATATAGTAAACGTATTGCGTAAACGTAAGGATAATGAGTAGTTCAAAAATATAAATTGTGGGTGCATATTTTATTTAAACTAAAATTATATTTAAGAGGCTATCGTATTTTGAGTTTGGAAATAGAAAACTAAATTATCAATTTCCGTATAGCCGTTTAGATATTGAATATAATATGAGTCGGCCGTTAAAGAAATTATAATCGCAATTACTAAATCTATCGATGAATGGTGGACAAATTAATGGGTTTTAAGTTGGTAACAATAATAACTAATAAATATTATAATATTATTTTTATATAAGATTATCAGAACATTTTTAAGTCACTTGCACGTTGTACGATTGCATGCTTTTAGTGTATGGTGTATGTGTGTGTTTAATTTTATCACGGTTTAGTACTTACCTTCGGCGGCCAAATTGAACGGTGGACAAGTCAAATTGGGACATTGTACCGTGTCTACACTCACGGTTTCAAAATTTTTAGACAGCTCCGGTAAAAGGGCTGAAATCATATAATAAAATCTAACCGTGAATAGGTTAAATAATTTCTTAGGTATATAAACGGTTATTTATTACTATTATAATATAAAACTACAAATAATGTAAATAAATTATAGTAAGAAAAGTTTTCGGTAAGTAAACGGTTAAACAGACAATACTGCTGTGTTTTATATTAGTAATAGTATCGAGAATTAAAAATGTCTTAGTATGTTTATTTGGTTTTATTTCATTTAAAGTAAGTAGATACTGCTACTGTTGTAATTTTTTACCTAAATTGGTCCAATAATGGTCTAACTCCATGATATGAATATAGTGTATTGTATATATTATGCTGATTATAAGTTAATTATGATCTATTCCCATATGATTAGGTACTAAAGGATACTAAAAAGCAAATTTTCCTATAATTTTTGAGTTTTCAATCAAGCCGGATGCAGGATGTTAGTATTGTAATTTGTACTGTTGCATATTAGTGCAAACGGTATCGTTATATACTATTTAACACTATAAATATATTACTGGGTGGATCCAGAAATTTTTCAAGTGAGGGGGGCATAGAAAGTAAAACAAAAAGTTCATCAGATAAAAAAGTTTGGCTCAATAATATCTTATATTTAATTTAATTTGGGAGGCACCGTATTCACATTTCACCCCCCATAAATCCGCCCCTGGCGTGTGTAAATTTAGTTAATTGGCATAGTTGTAGACGTCATGGGCGTCCCCAGGCATTTTTCTAGGGGGGGGGGGCAAAATTGATTTAGAAACTAAATGAAGATTTTTTTACACATTTTATTTGTAGTACATTTTTATTTTTCGTCATTATTACAATTAAGTATAACAAATTTAAAATTCTAGGGGGACAAGTGCCCCGTCTTGACCCCTCTTGAGGACGCCTATGGTAGACTCGCAGTTAATGGTTTCAATGCTAATTTTAAAATATTGAATTTGAAAATATTTGTTTTTTCAACAAAGGTTTTAACGATAAATACACTGAACATTTTTTATATAAAAAATTAGTAGAGAAGTTAATAAAAAATTGAAATAACAATAATTTTTAAATGTTATTTGTTTTTTTACATTAAATATGATGGAATAATCAGATTACAGTTGTGACAACCACACTTATTATTTTAGTTATCAGTTAAAGGAAGAAAAAGTTTTGGTGGAGAAAGCCAGAGAAGAGGAAAAGAACTGTCATATATAGAAGTATCTATTGCTGATTGATCCGAGTGAGTCCAATAATTGAAATCCTCAGAACAAAATATGTCCAAGGAAGGTACATCAGGATTCAGGTTATTGGAGTATTGTTGTAAGTAGAAGATAAAATATAAAGGATTTTATCAAAATGTAAGCTTTCAACCTCCTACAATACATAACATATTATTAATTATTAATATCTGAGGTTAATAATTTCTGTCAATATGTTGTTCGGTAAAATAATTGATTAGTAAAGATACAAATTTTTTAATAGTATATCAGATAGGTACTTCTACATAAAAGATAATTAAAAATTATACTGTATATCAGTGGCGCCAAATTCGTTTACTCACGTATTAAGCGGGGTAACCGCCCACCTTATTTGAATGGGTGAGTGGGGTTAAGTAAATTTGAGTATTATGATTTGAAAATAATATTGTTCATCAATAGGTATTTTAGATTAACTTATTTTATGAAGTGTATTATGTATAAGTACATATTATTATTCTACCAAGTACTCTTATACTTTTACTAATTGTCTAACTATTACCTATAGGCTATAATTGTAAGTTTCAACTGATATTTACGTAGTAGTTTTTATATAAATAAAATTATTATTGTATGACCTGATTTCTCAATTCCTCGAAAACGGTATCCATCCATGAGCATAATAACACAACTTATTTTTAATAATAAATTGATTACCTGCCTATTTCTATTTTATTGGTAGGGAGTGTGGAGGGGCGAAGCCCTCACGGCTCTGCTTAAATTGCTTGGGTAGGGTAGGTACTTTTTAAATTGTATTTATTGTTCCTCCAAGTAAAATTCAACTCAGTTCCACAACTATATATTATCATGTAGATTGTAGAGGCAGGTATACGTTTTGTATACAGAGTGTACGAATATTTAACATGTACCAAAAATATACGATATACGATTATATATGACATTATGGCAATGAAATATATTCGTGATACACATTTTGTGTACTATTTATAATAATATACAATATTATTATTCTGTATACAGTGCCACAGTGGTACATAATACGTTATCCTATGATAAATAAGACTAATTATAACTAAATGTTATTCATATTTGCAGCTATCGTGTTGATAGTTTGTACTCATTGATTACTAGGATTGTGTATCCTACTATTCCTACCTTCAATGATTCGGTCCAAAGACGGTACGTTGAGATCCATGCGTACTACGGGCAAACTGTTCATGTCCAAAGTCATGGGTAAACACGAATCAGCCATTATTAACGAATACTTATTTAAAATATTTTTTGAAAGAATGCGGGAAAACGGACAAATACGAACTATCAACCTTCTGCGATAACGTTTCGCGACATACTGACTAGTGACTACTGAGTACTGAGTACTGACTACTGTCTATTCTGTAGCTTATAATGCTTATGCCTTATAATGATGTACAGCGTTGAATAATAACTATCGATTTATTCGATAATTAAATCAGATACGATATTTGAATAATCGATATTAATTTATTCGATATAATCAAATAACAATTTGAATACAAATTTTTGAACAATTGTTATTCGAGTACCTAATTAGGTACTATTACTACTGCCTGGCACCTGCTTAAAATTAATTTAATAATTTTTACTTGTATTATTGTATTAATAGATAATTATTCGAATAATCATATATTATAAATCCTCGATAATATTTAAATAATTCTAGGATAAAAGTAATCACTAACTAGGAAACCAGAATTGGGTACATTCGTTATCACATATAATTTTTTTTTTTTTTTAAATAGGTTTTAGTCCGTAACAGCTTGATAATTATACATATTACAGATAATAGAAGTTTTATCCATAGACGTGATAAAAATGTATGTTAGGTTATATAGCTATAGATAATAAAATTATGAATAAAATACATAAAATACAGAATTACAGAATAATCTTACAAGATAATTTGACCCACCACAATAATGAAAATAACATTATCCACCTTAAAGAAATCTTTTTATATTAGTAGATTCATTTTTATTATTTATTGGACATTTTAGATTTTCATTATTTTTAAAAAAATATTGAAAATTGTAATACTGTAATTTTTTTCTTGTTTTTTTTTTTTCATAGTATCAATATATTGTGATTTAAGAAAAATAACTCCATTGTATAGAAGTATTTAAAAAAAAGATATATAAATAATCAAAATCATACTCAATGTACTATTTGTAAAAATTTGTACAAAAGAGTTAAAACTTAAAAGTACATCGAATTTATTAGAACATCTTATAAGGCAAATCATTTGTCCATTTTTAAACGGGTCAAAACGCTTTTCTGGAAAAATGAAATCGATGATACCAATTTTCCAGGTAATTTGAACTTATCAGAATGTTTTAATGAATATATAATATACTATATTTTTTAATTAATTACTTAATATATATATTGAAAAATTATATAGGAACATTTGAGTCATCCTAAAAGCAGAAGTTTTCCTATTTTGTTTTGAGAATAAACCCGCCAACCATGCGGCTCATAGGATAGGACTGATGCTTCAACTTCTATAGTAGACCACCAATAAAGAGACAAAAATAACTTCTATTATCAAATAGGTAAATACTAATTTATATTAAAATTTAAAATTATGTAGGATACATTTTAATAGATTAAATAAGTTAAAAATTTTAATATTATACAAAAAAAAAAAAAATTCCTAGTAGACTTATTATATACATTGCAATAATACACTTTTAATTTAAATATTTTATACAACCGATTTAATGATTTATTAGAAATATCTGTTCAAATAACTGTATATCTCAATAATTTTAATTAAAATGGTATATGAGTCAATAATAAATGTATTTTACTTATTCAAATTGAAACTAAAAGTGGTAAAAACTTTATATCGTTTACCTATTCAAACAAATAATATTTGTTATTTATTTGTTATAAGGTCAACGCGGATACAGAGTACAGACCAAACTATATAGACAATTATTATGCTCTTGGCTTTTCACTAATTGTAATCACTAATCACTAATCACACTATCTTAAGCCACAAGTGCATAGATAATATACAATTTTTCATTATCTAATCACTTGTCCATTTATGTCGATTACCATTATCGATTTGCTGGCTGACGAGAAAAATAAAATTATCAGACGGTTGCTACTAAGTACTAATCATTGTTCATTAGCAACATTAATAATTATAACTTGTACTGGCTGTACTCTATAGACTTAAGGTTCATTAATCATTATTCATTGTAATAATATTAGGTATAATATAAAATTGTTTATAATTATTTATTTGTGTACCTATGCATTATTTTCTTTGAATTATTGACAATCGTAATTGGTAAATGTAAATCTATTTTATAAATCTAAAAAGAATACGAAAAAATAAAAATGGTTTAAATAATTAATAAATAGGACAAAATGCAGTTTAGTATGCTCGTGTTCACTTTTTAACTGATTGATTTTTCAAAATTTGTGTGTCAAGTTTATTAAGACACTCAATTTGAAAGCGTTAAAACATTGTTAGTCTTTTTACATTGGAATTTGGAAATGAAACAAAAAAAATTGTAAAAAAACCATTTTTTAAATTAGCAGTAGCTCCAAATCACAATAAAAATGTCAATAAAATATTTTTATGGTTTTATTTAAAATTTATTTGTTTTTTAACGCTTATTATGATGAAGACAACAACAATCATAATTGTTATTGTACCAAATATTTTTTTCTATAATGTAATTTTAATCATTTTCCTAAAATTAATTACAGCAACAACTGCTTGTTATTTCTGCATAACAAACAAGTTAACAACTACCTATATGAGATTTAAATTTATAAAAAATATATACACTAACTAAACGTTTAACTAACATAAACTAAATGTGTTCATCCCTAGATATGGTACTTGGTTAATAATAACACACTAGGCAAGCATAATACGTAACTAATAAACAAAAAATTGAGATTTATAGCAGGATTAATGATTTTGTTTAAGGTGTAGATAATATCATTGAGTATAAATAGTACTATATACATACTCAATGATAATATGTACCTAGTTAACTAAGAAACAAAAGGTGCTCATTTTCGCATAGCCTTGCGCAAGTTTTTTACTTAAGTTAATTTTTCATGTTAGACGTTAGTTTTTGTCTAGAAACATACAATACTTTAAATTGATTTTTCCAAGGAGATATCTTAAGTTATTATAGTTGTTTCAACTGCAATAATCGCTAGTTGGGATATCGTGGAAGTAGATTTTGAAGAGGGTTGAGCGAAGTATTGAGCTCTGGGGACTCAATAGTTGAGGTTGGAAGAAGCTATTTCCCATTCTGATTTGAAACATGTGATCTTATATGAAGAGGACGATAGTTTTAAGTATAAGCATATTAGGAAGATTTAATGAGTTCTGTTTTAATCCTAGAACGCGATACTACCTTATCATTAAGGATTAAGTCTAGAAAGACAGCCATTGTGTATAGTTTCTTTTCAAAAACACGTACAATTAGTTCTGAAATTCGTTGGCACGTAGACTTTATATAGATATAGTGATGAGTTTTGAAACTAAATTGGTGCTTTGAGATGATGTTTACGTATGATTTTATTCTATTGAATAGAAATAGAATTCTTTCATATAATTTTGAGAACGAAGGTAGAAAAATGATTGGTCTGTAACTTGTAAGAGAAGGTGCTGGTTTTTCTGGCTTATGGATAAGGAGGATTACGATAGGCAATTGATAGCGTGTTTAAAGTTAGAGGGAAATTATAATACCATTTAAAAATGTATATCCTATGGATTTCTTGGTTTAAGGATCGGCCTTCAGGTCTTCTCGTCCCTTTCTAGGAGAAAGAGTTGGATGAGTACGTAAACTTAAGTTATTTAATTTAATGTTACGACTATTAGTTTTGGTTGCAATAATGATAAGTATATCGTATATTACTATCACAAGTAATATATACCAAATTGATGAATTTCAAATGACTATAACTTCGAAATAAAGTTCAAGAGATGAATTCTGATTGCATCACCACTCTTAAATCGTCAATTTTGAAGGTTTGGATAAAAAAATATTCAAAATAAAGAGAGAAAACGCTGATTTAATTTTTATAGGACTTTGTTAAAGTAGTATAAGATTATTAAAGTAAGACGGTATACCTTTAGTGGTTTATAGCTATTATTGAATTATTTGTAACAAAATATCGCTAAATCAACAATAATTAAACATAGGAACAAAATTAATGTTTATTAATCGACTTATGGTTTTCTTGGTGAACATGGCGTCATGACAATCAATTTAGTGTGAGGATTTTGCGAACAACTGAACGGTTAGAAATATGATTAAAGTATACATTAATAATTAATGATATTTTTAATCATTGACATTTGACAGAAGTCAGATACTAAAAAGCAATAAATATTGAATAATAATGATGAAAACTGCGGTCAGGACTTCAGGAGAAAAGAACGACGTGCGTATTGCAAATACTTATATCACTTTAGTCAGTTATTGCTGTTATCACCAATCATACCCTGTACTCTTATCACGGTTTACATTATAATAATTTTAATCTTTTAAATTTATTCTGTGCTCTTATCGCTTGCCTATGATGAGTGATAAAAGTGTTAATGCTAGACGCCCAGACTATATTTTCAACTGAAAAATTTCAGCTTTCATCTCGTTTTTTCCAGTTTTCCTCCGAATACTGATTTACAATCAATAATTTCAATATTGACTATATTCCACAATTTTCAGACAAATGTACAGTCCTTATTTTTTCATTCAATTATGGATGAATGACGAGATAGATTCGTCTATAAATTATACGTCATGTAATCCTACACTATAATTACTGGTTGAACATTTGGTTTGAGGAATTAAATCTGAAAAAAGTCAGTTTAATGCCTTGTAACGGTTTTATGTGATAGTCGGTGTTAGAAATCAAAATGCAATCTGACTCGGACGACCGTTTGAGGTTTCATGTGCGGTGTGGCACGTTAGTGAAGCTATCACCAAATAATAGATCAGCCAAGCGGCTGCGAGCATTTGATGAGTTTAATAATGGTGTTGTCATGACGAATCGAAATTTATTTGACGATGAGCTATTTGAGGTAAAGATAAATATTATGTTAAGCCCAAATGTAGTATGTACGTTTACAAGCTTGATTATTTGGGTTTTAGATTCGCATTGATAAATTAGTAGACAAGTGGAGCGGTAGTGTTGAAGTGGGTGTTACTATTCACGATCCAGGAGCTATTCCAATACCATCTACAATGACTAATTTGAGGACTGGTACTTCAATGATGTCAGGTCGTGGTATATTGGCCAATGGAAAAGGAATTAGACGAGAATATGGAAATTTTAATCTAGATGATTTGAAAGTATTTATAATAT